CATGATGAAGTGGGGATACTAATGATGCTTACTCACTGTCATGGAGCTGGAGGATCAGCAGGACTCTGACGCAGAGCAAGCTGTTACTGTGATTACCACTACTACTATCGTTCTACTGAGATAGGCCGAGCCTCTCCAAGCAGATGGGAATGTTCTTCGGTTAGTGTTTGTTTGTTTGTTTTGTTTTCAAATCTCTCCTGGATAAGTTTAAAGTTTCTCTTCAGAGCTCCGCTCTGCACCTGCTCCAGTAGATACCAGCCAATGGGGGGAACCTGGAAAGCTAAGAGCTCCCTCTGCGCCTGCGTGAAGAGCCCTGCGCTTATAAGCCTGACCCAGCGGCAGTGTGGAGGGCCACGCTGGTGTTAGTCCATGTTCCCCGGTGCACCACGCTCACTCCCTTTCTTCTTTCTCTCCACCCTTTGGATTTTTTTTTTTTTTTTTTTTTTTTTTTTTTTTGCCTCATCTCCTGATTTCCACCTAGAGGGGAGCAAGACTCCCTTTGGTGGTCAAACTACTATTGTAGTTTTATCTGAAGACACACACACACACACACACACACACACACACACACTAGAAGTAGGCAGAAATGAATATAAAGAGATAAATAAATAATCAAAATGTATGGATTTCATGAAAATGGGTTTTTAAGAATATTGCTTTTGCCCAGCCAGTGTGTTGACCCAAGAACCAAGAGTTCAAGGTTGGATTCCTGGACAGGTCATATTACCCCTGGTTTTGGACTCAGTGTCTGGTGGAGGGGTGTATAGGAGGAAGCCGATCAGTGATGTTTCTATCACTCTATCTCTCTCCCTTCTTCTCTCTCTAAAAATGAATAAAAACATATTTTTAAAAAATAATATTTTTTTCCGCTTTCTTATTTAGAAAATTCTTAAATACACAAAAGTGAATCACCATTAAACCACCATCTAGCTTAAACATTCATCAACATTTTTACCAATTTTGTTATTTTTGTTTCCAACATTATTTTTCTGGAACAAGGAAATTATATCATTCTGCCTATAAATATTTAGCATGCATTTTTAAAATATATATATATTTTATTGATTTTACACAGAGAGGAATTGAGAGGGACAGAGAGTTAGAAACGTCAATGAGAGAGAAACATCGACCAGCTGCCTCTTGCACATCCCCTATGGGGGATGTGCCTGCAACCAAGGTACATGCCCTTGACCGGAATCAAGCCCAGGACCTTTCAGTCCACAGGCTGAAGCTCTATCCACTGAGCCAAAACGATCCTGGCTATTTAGCATGTATTTTTAACTGTACGATTGTCTTAAAACATAATTACCATGCAAAATTAAAAATAATTCTTAAGATCATCTAATACCACATTTAATTTTTCATATTTGCCCCAGAAATGTCATTTTAAAGGGCATGGTTACCAGGGGCTGGGGCATTGGGAAAATGGGGAAATATTGGTCAAAGATATCTATATATAAATTCAGATTTGCAGGCTGAATCAATTCTGGAGATATTCAGCAGGGTGATTATAATGAGCAATACTGTATTGCATACTTGAAATTTGCTAAAATAACTGCTCCTAATTGTTCTTGCAAACAAAAAAAAAAATTAACTATGTGCAGGGACAGATATGTTAATTAGTTTGGTTGTGGTAAACATTTCACAATGAACATCATATATATCAAAACATAATCTTGTATGCCTTAAATCTATACAACATTATTTGTCCATGATGCCTCACTAAAGCTGATTGGTGAGAGAGATGTTTTACAGTTGATTTGTTCTAATCAGGATTCAAACAAGGTCTACATATTGCATTAGTTGAAGCTCTTAAGATTTCTGATTTATCTTCTTTTTTTATGTCATTGATCTGTTAGATAAATCAGGTTATTCATTTTTTTCTAATATCGATGTTTGCTTTCTTGTATTATTTAACTTCTCTATCCTCTGTATTTCTTGTAATTTGGTATGAGATCTAGGCACTTCATTAGATTCAGATGAAAATTTTTTTCTTTAGTCAAAACTACATCAGTCCTGGTGGATGGCTCAGTTGGGAGCACCACCCTGTGCACCAAAAGGTTGTAGGTTCAATTCCCAGCCAGGGCACATACTAGTATCTAGACTAGGGTTTCATCTACAGTTAGGACACTTACGCCCTTACAGGAGGCAACCAATCGATGTTTCTCTCTCATATTGATCTCTCTCTCTTACTCACTCTAGTTCTTGCTCTCGCCCTTTCTTTCTCAATAAAAACATATCCTGCGCAGCTGGCATGACTCAATAGTTGAGCACCAACCTATCAACCAGGAGGTCACAGTTTGATTCCAAGTCAGGGCACATGCCTGGGTTGTGGGTTCTATCCCAAGTGTGGGGTGTGCAGGGGACAGCCAATCAATGATTCTCTCTCATCATTGACGTTTCTACATCTCTCTCTCCCTCTTCTTCCTCTCTGAAATCAATAAAAATATACTTTAAAAGAATAGTAACTGACTTTAGACAAAGCATGAATTATTTTATTTTTGAAAAATTGAAGGGTCCTTTACAATTTCTCTCAGTAGCCCATTTTAGTATCAAAACAGAGCATTTTAAACCTTTAAGAAAATCAAGAGAGATGAAAATCAAAATGACAATGAAGTACCATCTCACACCTATCAGAATGGTATCATCAACAAATTAACAAACAAGTGTTGGTGAGGATGCGGATAAAAAGGAACCCTCTTGCACTGCTGGTGGGAATGCAGACTGGTGCAGCCACTGGGGAGAACAGTATGGAGTTTCCTCAGAAAACTGAAAATGGAACTCCCTTTTGACCCAATAATCCCACTCCTAGGAATATATCCTAAGAAACTAGAAACACTAATCAAAAATGATATATGCACCCCTATGTTCATAGCAGCACAATTCACCATAGCTAAGATTTGGAAACAGCCTAGGTGTCTGTCAGCAGGTGATTGGATCAGAAAACTGTGGTATATCTACACAATGGAATACTATGCTGCCATAAAAAGAAGGAATTCTTATCATTTGCAGCAACCTGGATGGAATTGGAGAACATCACACTGAGTGAAATAAACCAGTCAATGAAAGAAAAACACCACATGATCTCACTCATTTATGGGTAATAAAGAACATTATAAACTGATGAACAAAAAGATAGATACAGAGACAGTAAAGCAACAGACTGTCAAATTACAGCAGGAAGGTTAGGGAGATATGGGGGAGATAAGAGATCAACTGAAGGACTTGTATGCATGCATATAAGCATAACTAATGGACTCAAAAGTCTGGGGGGTGAGGGCATATATGGGATGGGGAGGCAATGGTAAGATACATACACATATAATATTATACCTTAATAAAAAATGAAGGGGGAAAAAAACAAGCTATGCTATTTCAGCAACTTGTGACTTAGGTGAATTCATATACTAACCATTTAAAAATTAGAAAAGTTATGAGGGTGATAATGAAAAACTGTCTCAAACCTTGTCTAGGATATAACTTTTGTATGATAGCATTGACAATCTCCTTTTAGAAAGAGATCACCCATTTCTGACAAAATATAACCTAATTGTGATAAATTCTAAAGGAATTATGAAATATTCTGAGAAATTAGCTTTTCTCATTCTGGGCTGTCAATCAAGTTAAATCATCTTTAACCAAATACTATTTTATCTTTTTTTTTTTTTGTATTAATCTAAGTAGTCGCCTAAAAACAAAACAACAAAACAAAAAACTACATGTCTCTAATTTTACTGACTCCTTGAATTGGCCTGTTCTAGATATGTTCTCTTTTGGCAATATTAAAATAAAATTTTAATACATTATCATAATAAATTATCTGAAAGATTTTTTTAAACCATTGTGTGGCTCATATGTCCAATATACATAAATATTGTTGTGATAACAGACAAACCTCATTTTTCCCCTTTAATGATGATGATTGTGTGTGTGTGTCCTACATTCTGTCTCACTCAGGTTAGTACATTATAGTGGCAATAACCCACCTTAGGAGTCTGTGAAAGTAAAACGTTCTGTTCAAAGGCTACAAGCTAGCTTAAGCTAGATCCTTGATGTGGCATGCTGTTAATATAGTAAACATTAATTACATGGATGTGAAAGGAAGGCGGGGGAGAGGGAAGGACAAAGGAAAAGAAGATATTTTATGCAAACTCCTCTCTCTCTCTCTGCCAGTGGGCAGTGGTGTCTGTATCATATTATATCTGTGTCATAAGAACAACACTGGAGCCCTAACCAGTTTGGCTCAGTGGATAGAGCAGCGGCCTGCGGACTGAAGGGTCTCAGGTTCAATTCCAGTCAAGGGCATGTACCTTGGTTGCGGGCACATCCCCAATAGGGGGTGTGCAGGAAGCGGCTGATCGATTATTCTCTCTCATCGATGTTTCTAACTCTCTGTCCTTCTCCCTTCCACTCTGTAAAAAATCAATAAAATATATTTAAAAAAAAAAAAAAAGAACAACACAGGGACTCAGATAGTTTTTGAATGAATGAGTGAATGAATGACTACCCGTCTCGGGTACACTATTGCTTAAAGGTGAAGCGATGGAGTCAGTATCCGCACCTTTCCCCCGTGTTATGATTCTGTGGCTGCCTTGACTTTGAAGAACTGGCTAGGTTGCAGATCCGTTTTAAAGTCTGGAAAGCAAAATGCTCTCAGAGAAAAGGCAGGGAGAAACACACCTCTCCACGCGTCCACTTCCGTAATTCCTATCATGATTATTCACATGGACAAGCGCCGCGGATGCATCAAGACTCTGTGCACCCTCAGAGCTCACCTGGGGCTGCAGTCTGAACGTAAGGGAGCCCAGTGGCATCGCACCCAATCGCAGCCGGCCTGCTTCCCGGGGTGCACAGGGTTCCAATGGGTGCGCTCTCCCGCCAACCAGGAGGGGAAACTGCTGAAGTCATGAGGCCGCCCCAGCGGAGCCCGCATGCGAGTCATGTGAAAGCTCGGGCGGCGCGGCTGACCTCCGGCAGGAAGGCAGGGGCCGGGGACGGAGAGGCCGGGGCTCGGGGCGCGCCGGCTCCGGAGCCTGGAGACGATGGGCCAGGAGCTGTGCGCCAAGACGCTGCGGCCCGGCTGCGGCTGCCATCGCTGCGGGGAGGGGGGCGACGCGCGCGGCTGTCAGAGGAGAGCGCCCGCCAGCACCGGCGCCGAGGCTGCCATCCAGGTACTGGTCCCCACGCCGCAGCATCTCCCTGTGCCATCAGCAGGAGAGGCTGGCTCCCTTCTCTGGCGGGCAGGCAGGGTCTGCTGGCTCTGCGGTAGGTCTCAACCAATAAAAAGACGTTGCTGTTAAAGTCACAGGGGGATTTATGGCCACTGTTATCAAGTCTGGAGTTGTGCTTTGTAAACCAAAAGGGAAAAAAATATTTCCTAGGCTTTGGGCTGCCTGGAACTCCGTGGACCTTGAGGCGGAGAAAGGGGGTGTTATTCTCTTGAAACCTCTCCAGTTCCCAAGTGCAGGGCTAGGGCTGCCCCTGTGAAAAGCACGCTGCGGTGTTGCTATGCTGTGGGTTTCCATGTTCTGGAATCAGCTCGTGGTGATGAGCAATGCATACTAGAAAATTATCCCCCTGCAGGGATAACTGAAGGGCACATGGGGGGTGGGGGGTGGAGAGAGATGGAAGAGTGAGTTAAACAGAGATAAATTCCATCAAAGAAATTTAGGTCAGCCTAAGTTTTCAAAGATATTTTTAGGTGAAGAAAAAAATGTAGTGTTTCAACATAGACTGATGAACTTGAACAGACCCAGAGACAAGGAGGCATGGATCAGACTGTGGGACCTCAGAGGGTGGGTAAGGGAGGGTGTGGATAAAGGGGAGAAATCAACCAAAGGAATTGTGTGCATACATATGAGCCTAACCAGTGGTCAAGGACAACAGGGGGTGGGGGCATGTGTGGGAGGGGTGTGGGATGAGAATGGGGGGAAGAGGACAAATATGTGATACCTTAATCAATAAAGAAAATTTTTTAAAAAATGTAGTGTTTTAACAATGGATATCATTAAAAAAAATTTTTGTGTGTGTGTTTTCAAGTGATCTGACCTTCAGGAAAAGTGCCTTATGAGGGTACTGAAGCCTAGAAAATATTTGCAACGTGAAAATCAGGCAAAAAGGAAAATGAAAGAATTGTTGATGCCAGCCACTAGGTCTCAACTTTGCATACATTTTACTCCTGCACATTCATTTCTCCTCTAGCTAACGGACCTAAAGGAAGCATCATGTTCCGTGACTTCATTTCGCCCCCGGGGACGTCAGGCTGCCCATGCCCGGAAGCTCAAGAGTAAAAGGCCACGGAGTAACAGTGAGTCTTTTCAGGAAGAGGATCTGAGGCAGGGCTTTCAGTGGGTGAGTGAGCAGCTGATGCTGATCAAGAGGATTTCATGTGTGCTTGTCCAGGGAGGCTGGCCCCACTTCCAGGGCAATTACTGAGCTGACCTTCCAAGTACATTCTAGAAAATTCCTCTGGGGGGGAAAAGTCAACACTAAAAAAACAAAAGTGCTCTTTCTTTCTTTCTTTTTTTTTCTTTTTCTTTTTTCTTTCTTTCCCACCTCTCATCCCTACCTGTTCCCTTTAAGCCGACGAAGAGCCTCCTCCCTTTTGGGGCAGCCTCATCCTACTTGAACTTGGAGAAGCTGGGTGAAGGTTCCTATGCTACGGTTTACAAGGGGATTAGCAGGTGGGTGACTCATAGCTGGAGAGACTTTAGAGATGAGGGTCCTTCCCGCTGGTTTGACATTGTAAAGCCAGGTGACCCGTAGCAGAAGTTCAGGATCCGTGCAAGATACCATTGGCCAACAGGGAGAGACATGATGACTTAAGCAACCTTGCAAGAAAAGCAAATTTCTCCTGCCCCAATTAAGATCAGCCCACTAAAATGTTTTATCAGCGTTTCTTCTCTTGTATTCAATTCAAAGTAGACTTCCTCTACGACTGACCCAAAGAAGCTCAGTTGGTAAGATGTCTCTGAAGTGCTTTTCATATCCCCCCTAAAACACAGTGGAAGTTTGCAATGGCGGCCTTGGGTGTGCGCCTTCATTCTTCCACTTTGCCCTCAGAGAAGAAACTGAAGTACATTTCTACAAAGCATGGTACATGCAAAAAATGATTAATCCTGTGTTTTCTACACTTGTAAAATAAACAAAATGGCTGAAGAATAAAAATACTGCTAATCCAGATGCCAAGTGCCCATTTGGCTAACAATAAACTTTGTCAAACATATATGAAAGATCTGTGAACTCCACTGCTTTTTAGTAAAAAAAAAAAAAAAAAAAAGTTGGAGGTCTGATTTTTTTTTATGTCACTTTGATGTTAAAAAATAAAATGGTTCAACCAAGGTATGTGCCCTTGATCAGAATCGAAACGGGACACTTCAGTCTAACGGCTGACACTCTATGCTGAGCCAAACTGATAAGGGAGATGTCCAATATTTTAAGAGACAGAAAGCAAGTTAAAGATCAATATGTGCTCTGTGATCTAATTTAGAAAAAAAGCACTCAAATGTACTTACTATACATATATAAATTTGTATGTGCATAGTGGAGTCTGGAAAAATACACAAGATATTCTTAGAAGTAGATACTTCTAGTGGTTGATACTGGGATGGGGAAGAAAGATCACCAAAACTTTCCGCTTTACTCCTCAGCATGAAGGCATTCATTATATATGTAATTTAAGAGCAACTGTTAAAGTACCATAGAGATCGAAGCCAAAAAGGCATGTGATAACAATTCAACATCAACTACTAGTTTTTAAAACTCTAAGCGAAAAAGGAATGGGATGATACTTCCTCACTATTCTATCTAATAAGGAGGGGATATACAAATTAACTGCCTCACAAAGATGGCAGCACCTAAAGCCAGTAAGGAGAAAATATGCGAATTGACTGTCACACTCTCAAAGATGGCAACACCCACAGCCACAAGATGGTGGCCTGGGCGCCTGCCTCCAGAGTTCTCCAGTCCCTTCAGCCCCCCAGCCACCTAGGGCTGCCCGAGGCTCAGGTAACCAGGGCCAGCCGAGGCTTGCGCTGCCAGCAGTGGCAGCAGCAGAGGTGTGATGGAGGTATCGCCTTCCCCTGATTGCCGGGTTGCCTCCTGCCCCTGAGGGCTCCTGGACTGTGAGAAGGGGCAGGCCAGGCTGAGGGACCACCCCCTTCAGTGCGTGAATTTTCATTCACCAGGCCTCTAGTGTTATAGAATATTTTACATCAATAGCCCACACGCTTTTTGTTGTTGCTGTTGCTAATTACTAGAGAGACAGCACCATCAAGTTAGAGATAGGCAAGAATGCCATTATCTTTTATAGTTAAATAAAATTAATGTTCTAGCCAACCCAATGAGGAAAAGATGAGTGAATATAACTTTTTTGGGTTATAGAATTGTCTACCTAAAAACCCAAGAAACTATCAAAATCAGTATGATAAACAGTAAGATCAGTTAAGAAATAAAAATATCCTTATCAAAAGTTGTCTTTATGTATTAACAATAACCATTTAAGAGAAAATATAGTGGTAGAAGTTACTCTTACAGTAGCAGTAACAAAAATCATTAGCTTCAACAAGTAGGCAGGGTTTATATAAAGATTTATTAAGGGACAGTAAACACTTTAAGAGCCATAGGGCATTTATTTTTTCCCCATACAGGCACTCATTCAGTCTAATATTTTTTAAGCACCCACTGTGTGCCAAACACTACTGTAGCCACTAAGGGTTCCTCTAAGAAGGAGACAAAAACCCCTGCTCATATGGATTATACTTTCTAGTGGGGGGTGAGATAGGCAATTATTATTATTTTTAATAAATATATTTTATTGATTTTTTACAGAGAGGAAGGGAGAAGGATAGAGAGTTAGAAACATTGATGAGAGAAACATTGATCAGCTGCCTCCTGCACTCCTCTCACTGGAAATGTGCCCGCAACCAAGGTTCATACCCTTGACCAGAATTGAACCTGGGACATTTCAGTCCACAGGCTGACTCTCAGCCAAACCAGTTTCAGCTAAGATAGGCAATTATTAAACTTAGTAAAATGCTGAGTTTGTCAGAGAGTGAAAAGTGCTTTGAAAAAGGATAAAACAGGGAAGAGGGGTAACGGGTGGATTACTATTTTAAATACAGTGATTGGAGGAGGCCACACTGAGTAGGGAACACTTGAACAGACTCTGACACAGGGAGGTGTGAGCTGTGCACATTGTTAGTGGAAGAGCTTCAGGCAGAGGAACAGCTGGTGAGAAATCCCTGAGGCAGGAGCAGGCCTGGTGCTGGGAGGGTAGAGTGGAAACAGATGAAGGCAGGGAGAAGATGCAGTTGCAGTAGGACAGGTGTATAGGGTCTTGTAGATCATCCCAGGGACTGTTGTAAGGATATTTGGATTAGGACATCTAATAGTGTGAAGATGTTAATAATTCTCTAAGTTAGAGACTTACTGCATTGTAAGTGTGTTCAAAACCTACAATAATTAAAATAGTGTAGCACAAGTATAAGAAAAGACAGATCAAACAAGTATGAGTTTTAAAAGTCCAGAATACTCACAAATCCAAGTATTAGTAAGACCTCATATATAATCATGGTGGCAATTCAAATCAGCAAGGAAAAGAAGGTGGTCCAATAAATGAGCTGGGACAATTGTTAGCAACTTGGAAATACAAATTCCCAGTGGGTTAAAGAGTTAAATAATAATAATAATAATAATAATAATAATAATAAATAAATAAATAAAAATCCAGGAACTAGAAGACTAGATAAGAGAATTCTGTGTGTACATAACACTTAAGGGAAGGTTCAGAACTTGTAAGGGAAGTTTGGCAGTGTCCATGGTACCCCATCTGTCCAAGTATGTTCTACAAAGCCCCAATTATGAGATACCTTAATAAAGGTTTTATTGAAAGAGTTACTTTGGTAAAATTGACACTGGGAACCCTGGAACAAACTAAAATACTACCTTCATTGTAGGTGCACTCCACATCTTTAAAATGTTCATGTATACCAGTACTATTTAAGAAAGGCTGAGAAAAATTTTAAAGTATAAAGGATTTTCTAAGCATATTTGACCAAAAAACTTTTTTGGAGGGGTGGAGAGAATTTCACAGAGCTATGTTCTGAATAAAACATTTTGTAGTGCCCCATGCCAAAGCAAACTGTGACCTTGAACCATAGCCTGACCTCTGCTAATAGGCCCAGGCACTGAAGCAGTTACATGGTTCGGAGGTGGGGGAGCATTTTAGAAAGTGTTGAACATCATAAAGTTTTTAAAGTTAAACCTTTCAAAGACATGATAAGGCAAACAAAAGAAATTGTTGAAGAGTATATGCAAAATAGTTTAGTAAAAAGGTGGGCAAATAAGGCAAATCATAAAAGAACAGAAAAGACCAAAACATATATGAAAATTCAGTTTCACAAAAAAATAGAAATTAAAATGAGATAATCCTTTTTATCTGTAAACTAGAGGCCCAGTGCACAAAATTTGTGTATGGGTAGGGTCCGTAGCAACTGCTGGCTACTGACCAGGGCCTTGCTTCATTCTATGCTGCCCCCTGGTGGTCAGCACACATCATAGCGATCGATTGAACTCTGGGTCAGTTGAATTCCCCAGGGGACACTTTGCATATTAGGCTTTTATATATATAGATAGGCCAAAAAGATTAAGACAAAAGCATGCTTCTAAAAACAAACCCTACAAATGTGTAGCTATCCTACCCTCAAGGAGGTGGAGCACAGCTCCTCACTCCTTAAGTGTGAGACATTCCTCCCTAAATATAGTGTTGTTGGGTGTGGGTGGGAGATAACTACAGGGAAGAAATCTGACAAACGTTATCTCAGGCAGGTGATTAAAGCCAACATCAAAAACCATAATTATGATGATATGTGCCCTTACTATGGTGTGATGAAAACAGTACTCTACCTCCTCAAAACTCCTAACCCCAGTGTTATAATCATAAGAAAACTTCCAATAGAGAGGTACCCTACAAAATTCTTCACTAAAGTGCCAAGGTGCTCAAAAACAAGGAAAGTCTGGAAAATTGTCACAGCCAAGAGGAGCCTAAAGAGACACAACAACTACATGTAATCTGGTATTCTGGATGGGATCCTGGAGCAGAAAAAGGACATTAGGCAAGAACTAAAGAAATCCTGGTAATCATATTGTAATATATAAATGCATCAAATCAATACATTGTACACCTTTAACTTGCACAACATATGCCAATTATATCTCAATTTAGAAGAAGACTAAGATAAAAACTTGATTGCTTTAATAAATTTATACATCTACTGATCGACTTCAAAGAAATAAAAAGAAGTAATAGCTACTGTAAAAAAAACATTTTGAAATAAGATGAAAAAGTCATAAATGCTATAAAAAGAAAAGGTAATATATACCAGCAAATGAATGTTTAAGACTAAAGGTCATCTGTACTCTACCACTTTGGTGCACGTGTGCATTTTGTCTTCCATGTGCACACAGTTTGCAGTTGACTCTCGAACAACACGGGTCCGCTTACACACAGATTTTTTTTTCAACAAATACCGTAAATGTATTTTCTTCTCCTTAGGATTTCCTTAGTAATATTTGCTTTGCTTTTCTCTAGCTTACTTTATTGTAAGAATGCAATATACAACTCATAAAACATACAAAATATGTGTTAGTTGATTGTTTATGTACAAGCAAGGAGATTGTTAGGAGGTTAGTACAATAACTCCGATGAAAAATAAGAATGGCTGAAATAAGTATGCAAAGGATGATAAGGATGGCTGAGATAAGTGCACAAAGGAAAATAAAAGGAACAATAGACATCAAAATATTATGAGGAAGGATCTGATTGGGGATGAGGGCATTCTCTGATTTCTGCATTCACCAAATTATTTTTAGAATGAACATGGATCACTTTGGTAAAGAGAAGAAATGTTTTTGTATACATATACATGTTATATGACATTTAAGACTTTTTATTTCGAAAATTTGTGGATTCGTATGCTAGAATATATTTGGAAGGAAAACTTAATTATAATAAATTGTAATGAGCCATCTTAATGTGCACCCCCCCCCACCCATTCTTCCAGAATAAACAAACAACTAGTGGCTTTAAAAGTCATCAGCATGAATGAAGAGGAAGGAGTCCCATTTACAGCCATCCGAGAAGGTAAGAAGAGTGAAATGGACCTAACCAATATGTTTTAATTCGTTAATTTGAGGAGGAGAGGGATGAGAGGGAATGCACTGAGTCTATCTATTCAATATCTAGTTTTGATATTTCTAGAAGTAATATTATAGTTGTAATTTTGTTCTTCAGACCAGTTTTTCAAGTATATTTACACTATCATTTTGCTTCTCATTTTTGAGGAAATTAAGACTCAAAAGTATTGTATTAGTTGACCAAGACTATAAACTCAATGAGTATTTACTTACAGTATCTTCTTATGTGTTTGGTCCCATATTAAGTGTTAAGGTTATATTTGATAACTTCAGAAAAAAATCCATATAAAAGATAAAATTAATAACATAATTACATAAATTCTTAGTAAACAGTTTACATCAAAATAATAAGTGATTTAGATAGCATTTGAAAAACTCTTTGGGAAGGTATGTATGTTTAGTGTTGTGCCTGTATTGTCTCTGTACCCTGGGGAGTGGGTGAGGATGGACTTGGGTTTGAATCTTAGATCTACCAATTAGTATTGTGACTGTGGGTAGATTACCTATTTAAGACTTGGTTTATTGAAGAAAGAGGATAATAATATCACCTATTTCTTTGAGTTGTTATGAGAATAAGCATTTAGAGCACTAATTACAGGGTCCATTTTCAGAATTCAACAAATGCTGGCCATTATCATTCCATTCTTGTTTTATTTCCCTCAGTGATGACTTGTTCATCACCAAAAAACCACTATAGTGAATATAAATCTTTAAAATTTCATTTATTAACCTTTTACAGGAGCCATTTGAAATAAAATGAGAATGGGACTGCTATCCATTTCATCGAAAACCCAGAGAAATGGCTCTTCCCTGGCCTCACTCTCCCCTCGTTGAACTGCTTCCTTCTCCCTTCCCTTCTGTACGTGCACATCCTGCGTGCACCACCGCCGGGGGTGGTGATGGATGAGAAGAAAAAGCCCAATCTTTGCTCAATATCATTTTCAGATGTAACAGAGCAGATGGTTCCAGTTACAACCAGTGTTATAATGGAGGTTAAAAAAAACACACAACACACACTGAGATGAGAACCAGTTAGCATCCGTGTGGCTAATGGAGTCGGTAGATTTTGAAAGGAGCTTGAAAGGACGGGTTATGCAAACAGGCGTGGGGGAAAAAAGCAATTCAGAAAATGAGTTTATAACCGAATTTGATGCCACTTTCAAAGGTCTTTCAGAGCCCCTGGGAAATGTGTTCCTCTGAATGCAACTGGAAGGGCCAAATGGCTGTCAGGTTATCCGGGGATTCTGCCTGGAAGGATCAGGTGCATTCTGGACGAAAGCATGGCTTTAATATAATGGAAACTGCATTTACAAGTGCACTGATTGGTGGCCCCCATTAAAGAGTGATCAGATTTAGGAAGAGATGGATGTAGGTCAAGGAGAATTTCTGCATGTAACACAAGTCCCCAGGTCACCAGCAGAGGGAGGGAGGGAGGGACTGTTGGCCCAGGTTCACCCCATCCACCATGCGCTTGTCTGTTGCTTCAGACTTGTCTCACTCCAAGACTTTGCCCGCAGCCAAGCTTTTAAGGGTGATATCTGACAAATCTTTTCCCCAGGGTTGCCACCCGAGGCTTCTCGACATGGTTTGGGAAAGCTGGACCACTATTGCTCTGTAGGCGAAGCGTTCCTTTTATTGCATATTTACCAGGAGTTGGCTCCCCATCGCAGGTGCTTGCAGTTACACGTAGGCTCCCACGGTGGACTCTGTAGGCTCGCTTTATGGACTTACCTGACTGAATGCGTCACGTTACAATATTAAAAACCACACAAGGATTTGCGACACACGGCAGGTCGCCAGGCATCTAATTTCCAACGACGAGTGTTTCCTTTCCCAGCGGCGCAGGAGCCGCGGGCCCTGGTTAGAGCCGCCCTCTCCCCTCACGGAGAGAGAGGGCCTCCCTGGAAAACATTGGCACCGTCCCACTTTCCCTGTAAGAACTTGAAGGCTGCGAGGCCAGGGAGACGGGAGGTTAAATGGGAAGGGCTGGAAGGCAAAATAGGAACAGCTGGAATCCATTAGTTAAAATCCAGGGTCACCAGCTAAAAAGGCAACCGAAAGCCACGTGCAGAAAAACGGAACGAGTAATGCAGACTTCTTTAAAAAGCCTTGAAGAAGGAATTGCTTTTCCTGACCAGTTTGGCTGCACTGATGCTATAGCAGCCAAAGATTTATTGAGTATGATTTTACAGTATGTATGGTCTCTATATAAGCGGAATACCTGTGGCAGTTTAATAATCTGGCCATTCGGAATAGGTATTTGATCTTAACATGTAATATTGAAATTAGCAAAAGTATGAACAGCACTCAGGGAAGCGTATTTTAATTCCCAGGCCAGATAATTTTCCCATATTACCTCTTTTGATTCTCTGAACAGCCTTTGAAGATCACCATTCTTCTTCTTCTAATGTATAGCTGTAATTCAAACCAAATCTCTCTCATTCAAACATGTGTACCCGGTCTATGCACTCATGCTACAGTCTTATTGAGCACCTGCGATGGCCAGGTATTTTGCTGGCCACCGGATGCACAGCAGTGCACACAATGGACACAGTCTCTACCCTCATTCCTTTGCTAACTGAAAGGATTAGCTAACTTCCAGCAACTCAGAAGATCTTTCATAAGTGGCTCTAGAGTTATATTTTAAATGTCTATTTTTACCACTAGGAGTAGGCTGATATTTGAAGTTTTTATCTAAGAATATGTTCCCTGGTTTTATTAAACTGTGCACCAATATTTTGATAATGTGTATTATTTTAAATATCTTCCTAAAAAATTAGAACTTTTTGGTTTAAAGCCAGGACTTTCCCCCTGTTAGCAACATTTTTAAGGAAGCAGTCATATAACTAACCTTTTTTGATGTCTGAGCATATGTCATAATTCCCCTCTCCCCAACACACACACACACACACACACACTCACACACACACACATACTCACACACATACATTGTACTTTTTAAAAACCCTTACACCAACTCTAGTAGGTAAAGTGTGCTGTTTTTGTTGTAGAGATGAAGGAAAACGAACGCTAGAGAGGTTAGGTAAGTTGACTGAGGTCCCAGAACTAGGAATCAGAATTGTTACATAGTAGATAAAATTTATTGTATTGTGATAAATGTAGGACTTCTTAACTAGAGCATTTCTCTTTAGCAACAGTAACAGTAAAAATCTGTTTTTTATGATACATTTTGTATAAATCTTAAGCAAAATTCAGAAGAAACATTTAAAAATGTATATGTATATCTCATACTTGTCATTTTTTATTCTATCATGAACTCTACAGCACCAGTAACTGCAGTGCTTAAATTAGAAACAGTCTTAGCTAAGAATCTTTTAAGATCATTCTCTAGTTAAAAAAAATAAAAATAAAAATAAAATTACCAAGTAATTATTCCCAGTTCATATATGAGAAAAATGAGCCAAAACTAGACTAAGGTTCCCCGAAGGTCATACAGTAAGGTACAGAATACCGATTAGAACCGCTGATTCATTGATTACCACAGATAGGTTGGGCAGGTCAGGTTGACAAGAAGTTCTTCATTAAGTGCAATCAAACCGCATCGCGGACACAGCCTACTCACATGTGCATAGTTACATTTTTATAAAACAAAATGTTGCCAGAATGATGCTATGTGATCTCATTACAGTTCCAAAGAAATCAGATGATAACTACTTACTTAGCATTTGTTTTAATATTTACCTTGATGATTTATTTTCTTGGAATGCATAATTTGACTCACTGACTGGATCTGTGACACCTAGGCCAGAGGAAATACAACATCAGGAAATACAAACTCCTTTTAATTCAATACCCAGTGGGGGTTGGGGAAGGAATTGGCTCCATTATTGACTCTTACCTAAACTCATTTCAACTGACAGGTCTTCATTAATTCACAAGGCCTTATGAGCACCACGTGCCTGCCTGTGCTGAGGGCTGGAGATGCAAAGATAGGGACAGGAACAGGACATTCCTTGATGAGCTCACAGCCTAGAAAGGGATATTGGCTACCATATGTAACTGTGCCCTAGGACTTTGAGAGTAAGCCTTGTCCTTCCTGGTAATCATCTTTCCTTTAGATGATAAACTAAAGCAGAATAGCCCTAGCTGGTTTGGCTCAGTGGATAGAGTGTCGGCCTGAAGACTGAAATGTCCTGAATTCAATTCTGGTCAAGGGCACATGCCTGAATTGTGGGCTCAATCCCCATTAGGGAGCATTCAGGAGCCGATCAATGGTTCTTATCGTTGATGTTTCTCTCTCTCCCTCTCTCTTCCTCTCTGAGGTCAATAGAAATATGTTTTTAAAAAAATTAAACTAAAGCAGAACAGAGTAGAGGAACCTCAAAATTTCATGACTCATTGCACCTGCAAAGCATCAATTTTCAAAAAACTTGACTGAACCACAAACCCCAATGAAATGAACAAAACCAAGAAATTAAATATTTCATATAATTGCAAGATAAAAATAAATTTTTCCTAAATTATTAGATATCATACATATATGAGAATCCAATTAAATTCCTTGTAATGTTAAACCAATCAGTCATCCTAAACACCTTGAAGGATATTAAAAATAAAGAAAAATACTTTGCATTTTAAAAACATGCTTAATAACTTTCAGTTGTAGGTTATTTTTCTTGATTTTGGGGGTTATACTTTTTTTTTCAGGTTTTCTCTTTGGCTTTTCTGGGTGTTCTCATGATCATACCAAGTTAATATATGCAGAATTCTTACAACAATGCCTGGCATGTGGTAAATGCTCAATGAGTGTTAGCTATCATCATCATCATCATCATCATCATCATTATAAAAGTATTTTGGAAGCCCTCAAAGAAATTCCATCATGATCCCATTTGTCTGGAGCTTTAAAGACTCCCCGAATTATCTTTGTGTCTTTTCTTTGAAGAGAAACAAAAATTAGTAGACTCAGAATACGTGAATTATAAAAACAGTAATTTTACAGGAATCAGGATGCTCTGGTTTTAAGACCTCTCCTTTCCCAGTTGGCATTGCATCCCTTGGCTGCTTCACATGTAGAAGGCACCACATCCTGCTCTGAAGGTTATGAGGCAGCCTTGAAATTAGAAGGAAGGTCTTCCCTTTCTTGGTTTGAGACCCACATGTCTGAGGCTGTAGGCATTTTAGATTCCTCCAGTGGATGGACTAAACAATATCCATGAGATAAATACTTTAACCATCATCTACTCTTTCATGTAAATTCCCTATTACTAATCATTAAAAGTCACAGTTTCCCTGTAAGTATTTCAGTGTTCTTGGGTGTTAAAAAAAAAAAAAAAAAAAAAAAAAAAAAAAAAAAAAAAAAAAAAAGCAGTAGTAGACATAGCCATAACCCAACAGTCATAATCTAACGAGGAAGACAAGTAAAAGAAACAAGAAATAAAAGTACCATCAGCCAAAACACCCTATACCAACCAATTATAGGTATAGAAATGATATTAGGCAATTAGTGGCCACTGACTCAATAGTAAGTATTTATTGAATGCTTATAATATAGCAGATGTTGTTCTAGACCAGTGGTCGGCAAACTCATTAGTCAACAGAGCCAAATATCAACAGTACAACGATTGAAATTTCTCTTGAGAGCCACATTTTTTTAAACTTAAACTTCTTCTAATGCCATTTCTTCAAAATAGGCTCTCCCAGGCCGTGGTATTTTGTGGAAGAGCCACACTCCAGGGGCCAAGAGCCGCATGTGGCTCGCAGGCCCCAGTTTGCCAACCATGGTTCTAGACACTGAAGACATAGCAATAAGCAAAAGACAAAAGTGCCTGCTCTTAATGGAGTTTATATTCCTACGGGTGGAAACAGACAATAAGCAGGTATATAATATGCCAGTATAACAAGTGCTACCATATGCCAGGGGTGATCAGTTCTGTGAAGAAGGAGAAAGCAGGGCACAGGGATGGAGATCACTGGGGTGGGGGTGTCAGGGAAGCCTAGACTCTGAGCAGAGGCCTGAAGAAAGTGAGGAGGAGGCATGCAGTGAACTGAGACAAAAGGATGCAGGCAGAGACAGGGTGACTGTGAAGACCCAGGAGGAAATGTGTTGGAAATGTCCAAGGTTGGAATAGGCAGGAGGCCAATATGACGAGAGCAGAGACAGGGAGTGTGAGTTGATGAGAGCAGGAATGAAATAAAGATTTATAGTCACTGATATTCGCAGGGCGCCTCATCCTAAGTGAACATCAGACTTGGAGCTTTTTAGCAAATGATCGTTTGGAGCCATTACAATTAACCAAACACGCCATCATAATTTTAAAAATTAGCATCAGGAATTTTAGTAACATCATATTTAAGTGAGACTAAATTTTGTATTAAAAATAAATTTAAATATATTTATAATATTCTTAGTAATTCCAGCTTTACCATATCCATTTAAAATCGAATTTGGGTGCGTGTTTTGTAATGGGGGGGGGGGGGGTGGCGCATAGAGAGAGAAAAGGAACATAATTTGCAAATAAAAATACACATAAAATACCAGCAGCATGTTTAACTGATGGTTAGAAGTCATCGCAAGTGTAGAAGGTGTTGGAAACTCTAGCAGAAACAAATATAAACAACATTTTAAAAAAATTTAAATGATAATTGGATGCAATAAATACCATATTATATTCGTTTCAGGGATGCTACATCGTGATTAGACATTTACATAACTGATAAAACGATCACCCCAATAAGTTCAGCCTCCATATCTGACACCCCTACGTAGTGAAGCACAGCATTACTGACTACATTCTGTTTACCGTACTGTGCACTCCCATGGCTGCTTCCATAACTGGCAGCTTGCACGCTTTAATCCCTTCTCCTTTTCCCCCAGCCCCCCTCCCCACATCTGGCAACCATCAAAACGTCCCCTGTATCTGTGAGCTGGCATACACAAAACTTTAATTCATTAATCTGGGAGTGGGGATTCGGTGGGGCTGGAGGTGGAAGGGAGGGCCGAGTACCTGTTGGCTGGGATATTCATTCTAATTTGCAGCCGTGTGGCGACTGACAGTTGCCAGGGATCTGCGCCCGGCATCTGATGCCACCCTCCTGTCAGTCCCATGCAGTCAGCCTGGGGAAGACGCTATCTCTTTCTCGCAGGGAGTGGGCTGAGACTTGGGTGGAGCTACCACCCCGAGCCCCCTTGGGTAGGAAGTGGCAGGGCCAGGATTCATAGGAGGGCTCCACAGTCAGCTCTGCGTTAAGACACTCAATAAATATACTTGATAGATGAAGTGCTTGGTCTCGGCTGAGCGTTGTACCGGGTGGTGTGGCGGGATCTGAAAGAGAAAGCCGCTCCCGTTATTCTATAGCCTCCAGCCTGGGTCTAGGGATATGAAGCAGGTGCCTGTGAAACGGTGCACGCACACAGCCATGGGCGTGTAAGAGTGAAGTAATACCTTTCGCTCAGAAAAGGAGTCAGGGGGCGAACAGAAAAGTGATACTGTTCGTCATCAGAGCAAAGCAGGGTTAACGGACAGAGGAGGAGGGCTCCTTGGGTGGTAAAGAGGCTGCCAGCTCACACTAAGGTGAGTGAAGAAGGAAATTTGCTGGCTTGGAGATCTGGAAACTACACACTAGCAAGGAGCCGGTGATGTCACCAGGAATCCAGGCCTGGCCATCCCCAACTCTGCTTTTCTTGGTCTCAGTTTCATCCCCAGGTATGGGTGAGCGGCCGGAGCAGCTCCTGGTCGAATCCTACAAGCTCAGCTCTGGCAGTGGAGAAGAGAGTGCTGCCATCCTGAGGACACAGGCAGAGGGGGGCTCTGTGCCTGTCTCTGAACCAATCCCCGTGGCACGGGGCGCTGTGCTCTGATGGGACGGGCCTGGGGCACAAGCCCAGGCTTGGGTAGGGGTGGGTCAGTCCCCCCAGCATAGCAGGAGCTGAGCAGGGAAGGGGTTGCTTCCCCGGAGGAAAGTGGAGGGGCCCCGCTGGAAGGGGGGATGACAGCCAGGAGGCCAAACGACAGAGTTTCATTCCAATGGGAACAGGTCGCTGAAGGGAGTAAGGTGGCTCCAAAATGGGAAGGGAGCATTTGGGCTTGTTGTCCATCTCACCGAGTTCCGGAAGAAAGCTGGTGGCCCGGATTCATGATACACAGGCATCCCCTGCAGAATGTGGCTTTGAGGTTTTATTTGCGTTTTACTTTTTCCTTCCGTTTCTTCATATGGGGACACTCAGCTGAGGCCCCTCCCCTTTTTGTGCCTTTTCTGCTCTCTTCCCTTCTGTTTCGTCTCTGAAACCCCCCAAAGACACAGCTTTTAAACCCCACTGCCAGAGGAAGGGGGATGGGAGCGGGCTGGGAGAGGTTAATAACGGGGAAAGGAGGACCTATGCAATACTTTCAACAATAAAGATTTAAATAAGTAAATAAATAACCTCCCAGCCAGGCACTCACTGGCCTTTTGTGGTGACTTCCCCACTAAGGTGCCCTTACTGACCAAACAACAACCTGCAACCTGTCATTGGAGCTGCAAGAGACAGTCCTCAGGCCGCCCCCTGCCCTCAGCACCCCCCCATCCCCCTCAACATCCCCCCACCCCCGCCACACACACACACACACACACACACACACACACACACACACACACATACACACACACACACTCCCTCTAGGCTCCCAAGTTTGGCTCTGTCCCCTTTTCAAGTTTGCATTTTCTCCTTCCACAGAGTTTGCACTTCTCCCCTTAAGAAGTCCCCTCCACTGTTTATTCTGGTTTAACCATTTTTCATCCCAGGCTCTTATCCCTGCCTTCTCCCAGTCCCACCCACCAGCTCTGCTGAGCCCTGGGGGGATGTTGAAGTTTAGAAAATGGTCACGGGTTGCCAAGTCCTGCTCTAGAAGGCAGGGCACTCCGTTTCCTGCTCCCCCAATGGCCTTATCTCTCAGGCCTCCATTCCTGTGATTCTGAAGCACAGATGATAAGATCCCCAGAGGACAGCATTTGCAAAGTGCTCTGAGTGCTTTGATGAAATTGATTGGGTAAATGGAAACATATTTCTTTTCAAACTGCTCTGGCCTGTTAAGAAAGTAAGGTATGCAAGTGCAATGACTCACCATTTAACAAATAACGAAGGTACTTTGTCATTTTAAATATTATTTCATAAGAGATATTTCCAGCAATAAAAAACCAGAACTGCTTGCTTTGAAATGTTTAAAAAATAAATACTGCTTGAAATCAATAAAGCAGTGCTTTCGAGATTGTTCTTTGAATTAACGTTTTGTTGAATTTTTCTAGCTTCTCTTTTGAAGGGTCTGAAACATGCCAATATTGTGCTCCTGCACGACATAATCCACACCAAAGAGACACTCACATTCGTCTTCGAATACATGGTGAGTTGCCCCAGCATTTTACAAAGCATGAGGGGAAAGCCTGGTGCTTGTATGATGAATCTGTTAATATTTTATGGCGTGATAAAATTTTCATTACAATGTGGAAAGTGCCATGGAAATTTTTCATTATTACGATTAACAGAGCCTATTGTTCTTATGCTCATTCTTGAATCTTGTTTCTTTGCCCTTCATATTTGCTGTCTCTTTCCCCTCACCAGCAGTAATTAATAAGAATTTTGAGTTTGCCTTCTAAATAAAACATCTACACTTTCAAAAATCTATTTTTAAACACCATCTGAGCAGAGCCCAACATTTTTCATTGACAACGAAGATATAAACCACAAGGTTTTAAAACATTGTATACTAGAGGCCTGGTGCACGGATTTGTGCACCAATGGCATTCCTCAGCCAGCCTGCAGGATGGGGCAGAAACCGTCTCTCTGGCATCCTCTAAGGTAGGGGTGTCGAACTCAATCAGAGAAGGGGCCAAAATCTAAAATCCAGCCTAAATCGCGGGCCGAATGGTTTACTGAACAGTCATAAACTGTCATTGTGATGGAAACGCAGAGGAGTGCAATGATGACAGCGAGGTGCGAGCCACATTGCAAGGCCTGGCGGGACGGATTTGGCCCTCGGGCCTTGTGTTTGACACATGTGCTCTAAGGAGTCTGAGATTATGAGAGGGCTCAGGCCAGGCTGAGAGACCCCACTGGTACACCTGCAGGGCTCAGGAGAGACACGAAAGGTTGGCCAGCTGGCAGGGACTGTGTGAGTGCACCAGGGTGTTGTCTGGCCCCCCTCACTCAGCCCCAATCGGCCAGACCCCAGCAGCAAACTAACCTACAGGTCAGAGCATCTGCCCCCTGGGGGTCAGTGCATGTCATAGTGAGTGGTTGAGAGGCCTTAGCATATCATTAGCATATTATGCTTTGATTGGTTGAACGAACAACCAGATGACCGACACTTAGCATATTAGGCTTTTATTATATAGGATAAATTCACTGTAGTATTTCTGAGAGGGAAAACTGTTAAAATATTAGCAGAAAGAAATCACACTGGGTTTAACCTTAGCAATGGGGCCTCAGAAAACCTGGCCGGGCACCTTCTGCACCTTATTCTCAAACATCTGAACTTCGTACGACCTCTGACAGTCAAATGTATGGTCTGCTTCAGGGCACTGTGTACACATCACTAACAACAGTCTCTCCACCATTTCCTGCAGCACACGGACCTGGCTCAGTACATGTCTCAGCACCCTGGCGGGCTGCACCCTCACAACGTCAGGGTGAGTGCTTTGAGGGGCAGGCCTCTCTGGCTGGCCCATCACAGGAGGATTTTGAAACAGGCTGACAGTGCAAAGCAAAGTCCCAGGACACAAAATAAGAAGATGGCCATCACTGATATTCTAGAGTAGGGGTGTCGAACTCAATCAGAGAAGGGGCCAAAATCTAAAATCAGCCTAAATCGCGGGCCGAATGGTTTACTGAATAGTCATAAACTGTCATTGTGATGGAAACGCAGCGGAGTGCAGTGATGACAGCACGGTGCTGGCCACATTGCAAGGCCTGGCGGGACGGATTTGGCCCGCGGGCCTTGTGTTTGACACATGTGTTCTAGAGAAAAGTTAAAAAAAAAGGAGGGGGGGGGGAAAGAAAGTTGTCCTTTAAGATATGGAGCAATGTTTAATGGTTTTCTGGGCAGCCTAACCTTGTCAGTCTATCAGGCAAATGTGTGCCTAGAAGCATAAGCCAGTTGAAAGAATTACACTGAAAAAAACCAACAACAAAAACAAGTGAAGGTAGGCCATCTTTTATAAAATAAATACCTCTTTCATGGCAGGCTACTGTGCTCTGTGATAATATTTGTTTTGTGTTTATAGTTCTCCACTGGAATTAGCAAACAAGCCACCTATGCTGGATCCCGATCAGTTACCCTTTTGCCTGTTCTATCAAGTCCTGTTATCTGTGGAGCTAGCTTCCATTTTCCTCCCAGTAATTACAATAGAAATAATAATGAGCTCTTAATAGGTATAATTCTACATGTGTTATAAGTTGTATTTCATACTTTTCATTCTCTAAAGTTTTATTGGCATTAATTAACTTAGACACATGAAATTTGCATATGTACTCATTCATTTAGCTAATACTTTATGTATTAATTTATTCATTCAATAAATTAATTAATTTTTTGAGGTCTTAGTACATATATTAAGTTCTGAGGTTTTACTAATGAATAAGTTGTATTTCTTACTTTCAGTGTGCTTAAAGCCCAGAAAGTTAATGTGGACTTAAATGGGCAGTGAGAAGCAAAGTGATAAGGCTATGGCTGTGTTAAAAGGAATATTATAAGACTCCTAATAAGGGGCTTAATCTCCTCTTAGAGGCAAGGGGGGAAAGGCTGTGGAGAGAGGGGTTGAGGGGAATGAAGAAATCTTAATAGCTGTTGGAGAATGGGGTAGAGAACTAACTAGGGAAACCAAGAAAGTCTAATAGTGTATTAAATATTCGAGAATAAAAATCATTAAGTTATCTGCATGTTCATGGGATTTTTTTTTTTTAAATGGCAGTACTGCCATAGTCAATATTGCTCAGTGGATGGAACGTTGGCCTTGAGGACTGAAGGGTCCAGATTTTGACTCCGGTCAAGGACATATATGTCGGTTGCAGGCTGGATCCCTAGTCCTGGTCAGAGGCACATGTGGGAGGCAACCAATGGATGTGTCTCTCTCACATCAATGTTTCTCTCTCTCTTTCTCTCCCCCTTCCTTCTACTCTAAAAGTCAATGAAAAAATATCCTCGAGTGAGGATAAATAAACAAACAAATAAATAAATGGCAGTGCTTAGCCATTTGAACAAAGGAACAGAGAAAGTAGACAGTTTATTGACTCAGAGTTGGGGTTTTGCCAGATAAGTGAGAGGGAAAGACAGTTTGGCAAGAGAATGTTGAAAGGTTAAGCTGGTGGTCAGAGGCTTCTAAACAGAGGGAAGATAGGCAGGGTGCTGAAAGCTAGGTAGAAAGCAGAGAGTCAAGAAACTAGACTAGAGGTGTTGATTAAATAGAAAAATGGGTGCAGGAAAAATAACCGTGAGAAAGATTTTCAGGCTTATGTGACTCACATATAAGACACAGTGCTAACAGCTTAAAAGGAAAAAAGACATAGAAGACAGATTCCTGCCCTCAAGACACTTAATCCAAAAACAAGATAAAAGCAATATACACCAATACTATTTACATGGCATTTGTGAATAATGCCAAGTAAGAAATAAGACATAGTATTGTAGATGTGTAAAGAAGTAAAATAAATTTTCTCATTTTAAGAGGTCTCATTTAAGGCAGAACTCGAAACATACGTTCATTTTAAGAGGCTGAAATAGGGGCAGATGTTACAGAAAGGAGAAATGTTGTTCACCGAAGGTACAGAGCAGGGAAGGAGAGGATGTATTCAAGGAAGAGGGCCCCAGAATCATGGACTGTTAGGGCGAGGGGGCTGACAGTGGTTTTCAGTTTTTGGGGTCTGACCCATTAATGGGATATGAAATCAATGTGGTGATTAGCAACCAACATTTTTTTAAAAAATGAAATGAAATGGGTAAGAGGACAATAGAAAATGTCTTGTGCAACTTTTGTTCCAGTTGAAACTGTACTTATATCTGGATATGGATGTAAATACTGGGTACATATAGGTTTCTTACTGTGGCTGCAGTACAAAGAATGCTTTAAAAACACTGGGCTGATCTAACTTCCTCGTTTTGCAAAATTGGAATGGAAGATTTGAGAAGACAAACATTTGGCCTGAAGTTATAGAACCAGCCCCTGCCATAACTAAATATGATTCTTGGTTAGGATGCTTTTCTACTACTGCCATATTGCACCTCTGGTCCTGCTGGCCTGACATATAGACTGTATTCATGAAGCAGGGTACATAAGTCTGGGGAGATTGATTGGGTAGGTGGCCGAGTGCCTCACTTCCTAAGATGTGGACTCTATTCCTTAGGCATTAGAGTCATTAAATGGGGTTGGGTTGAGAGAGCATGACATGATCAGAAGGAAATTTATGTAACTGTGGTCTGTGGGATGGATTAAAGAGTGGAGACTGGAGTCAGTTAGGAGTTTATTGATGTGGTCTAGCCCAGTGCTTCTCAAACTTCAGTGAACCGATGAAGGACTTGGGGCTCTGATCCAGGCTACGGTGAGCCCGAGCTTCTGTTTCTAACATGACCCGGGAGATGTGGATGCTGCTGGTGAAGGAACAAACTTTGCATATCAAGAATCTAGGTAAGCAGTGATAAAGGCCTAAATTATGGCAGTGGAGGTGAGAATGGAAAGCAATGTGACAAATGGAAATAATGAAGAGTTCATCCAGGTCATGAAGAGGGAGAGGGTGGGGCCAGACATGAGTGATTTTGAGTTTGATTGACCAGGAGAATTATAGCTCTGTTAATAGAAAAAGGAGGAGTTGGTTTGGAGAAGAGGAGGAGCTCCTAATTGAGGTGAGGTCCCTGAAGGGAAATGAGAGCAGGCAGCTGAAGAGGACATCGGTGCCCAGGAAGGACATATGAGCTGGAGATGTACACTTGAGGGTAATCTGCACAAGGAGTTTGTAGGTGTAGACAAAAGAGTGGATAACCAAAGGGCAAAGCCACAAAGGGAAAAGGACGGCAACAGAACTTTCTCCTTTCGGGGATAGGAAGGGGAACTGGACAGCAAGGGACAAAGGGAAGCAACTTTTAGGAACACAGAGGATCCAGAAAAATATGTTTCTGTGGAAGCCCAGGGAAGAGACAATTCCAAGGAGGTTCTGGTTGAGATTGTCACAAATACCAAAAATACAGATGACAATTGTACTGGATTCCAAGGACTTTGTAACTTTGTGAGGGATATATTACAGGATTGGGAGGCAGAAAGGAAGAAGTTAGTCCAAGCAAAGCAGGTGGGAGTAGGACTAAGTTCCCCATAGAAGAATCAGCAGTGAAAAAACTGGGATGCCAGAGAAGACATGGTATATTCCAAGAACTAATGATAATTCTTAAGGCTTGAGGTTTGAAATTCACAGGGCGGGGAATAGTTTACGATGAGATGTGAGAGGTAAATGGGAGCCAGAGCTATGTCATGTTATTCCATATAAGGAGTCATTAAATGATTTTAAACAAGGAAGTGATAAATTCAGATTTTTTGTTTGTATTTATTTATTTATTTATTTTTGTAAAGCTTACTCTGATGACACTGTGGTGAATAGTTTGGGAAAAGAAAATACATTTTTGGGAAATGTTATAGTCCCCTGAACTCATTCCCTTTTTGTTTTTTTTCTACTTACACCCCATCCTCCCATTTCCTCTAATCATTCCCTAAATGCTGGTGTCTGTTGTCCCAGCCTTGACAGTGAGGTTAATCAAGACAACAGTGGTGCAGGTGCAGATAAAGATTTTGAAATCTTCAGAATACAGTTGTTAATTGAGGCAGTTAGTAGGTAAGATGACTAAGGGAGAGTATGTGGAGTGATAAGAGAAGGTCCAAGATGGAGCCCTAAGGAATTTGAATATATTAGAGATCAGTAGAGGAAGTGGATAGAACTTGAAAAAAGAGCAGTCAGAGAAGTAGGAGAAAAATTATAAGATTGTGTTACCAAGGAAAAGCTTCAGGAAGCTCAACAATTTTAAATGCTGCAAAGAGAAGGAATGAGACGTTTCCATTGGATTTCCATAGCAAAAGGCATTGGTGATTGTGATAAAACAACAACACATCATGAATGACATAATCAAAATAGATGCATATGATGGCAAGACCTATGGCAAATGTTATCATGGAGTGAGGGGCTGAAGCTGACTGGAGAAGCAGGCCATTTCGTTGAGGAGGTCAGCTTGCCATGCTCACACGGACACTGATGTCCAGGAAGCAACAGCTGTGATCCAGGAACCCAAGTCTTGAGAGAATGATGGAGGATGGTGGGTGTGTGGATGACGGTGACAAGAGGAGTAGAGGAAGATGTAGCTGGATGGCAAGAAAGTCTAAGCAATGGAAGGTTTTACTTAAGGGTATAGAAGTGATGGTTTTGAAGTGGGATTGAGGGGTCAGGAAGCAGCTGACCCCACCTCACTGCGATCAATGTGTGAGTGAGCTGTAGAAAAGCTAGCATCCGCTTAAGAATGCTATAAAGGAGCAGTGAGCTCAGGGTCCCATTGCAGGAAAGAAGCCGGAAGAAAATCCATCAGAGTTGAGTTGTAAAGAGTTTTTAATCCAAGATTGAGGAGTGAAGAGTGAGCGGTGAAAGGTTTGGGAGAGGAAGGGACCATAGATTAAATGAAGGGAAGCACAGAGCAATCTAAAGGTGAGCTTATGGGAGGAAAAAAGAGTAGTCAGAGAGCTGTTTTGAGTAGTGACCACAGAAGACATGATGGGAGTTGCCTGGGATTTAACAAAACGCAGGGATCCCTGATGAGTGGAGCACTCGGGCTTCCCTGCAGGACTTGGCTGACGGATCTGATTGTGTTTTGAGGGATTCCAGCCCAGATGGCAGTAGCCCAAAGGGATTACATTTTGTTCCCAAGAGCCTCATGGTGCTGGAAACAGAGCTAACCCCTGGGTACAGGAAGCCTCTCTGGAAAGAGTCACCCACGACCTGGCTTGATGTTGACTGAAAAAAGCACCATCTGATGGGGTCATATTATCAGTGAAGCTTCAGCAGGAGTGGGAAGAATCCAGGCTGTAAAGGATGGAGGAGCCAGTGGGTGGTGAGCTGCGTCAGCACACACTGCAGTTTCGAGAAGTGTGGCTGTGGGACACCCTACCTTACCCCTGGGAGCTTTGCTGTTGACACATGCCTGCAGACAGAGCCAAGGAGTAAAGAGACTGAGAGCAAGAAGGTGGGAGGCAGGAGTGACTAATTAGTGAGAATGGTCTCTCCTGGGGACATGAAAGGCATTTCAGCCAGGGCCCTCCGAGCAGCTCTGCGGCTGACTCAGCCGGCCCACTCCCTCTCCCTGTCATGTTTTGATTTTCTGTCTTTTCTTCGGCTTCTCCGGATGGTGGCCTGGAGTCAGGCACGTCTGAATTTGAGCTGCGGCCCTGACTCTTTCTAGACATATTTTCAAAGTTTCCCATTTTTTCTTATCTGTGAATGGAGGACAAGCATACCTTCCTCACGGGGGTGTTTTGGGGATTGATTGATAGGTTATTGAAAAGGTGACAGGCACTCAATAAACAGTATTTTCCCTTTCTTCCTTCTTCTGTCTCTCCCTCACCGATCTCCATCTTTCTGTCTCCTGTCCCTCACCTGGCTCCATCTCTCCCTTTCCTATACTGTCCCATTGAAAAACATAGACTGTGGCAACATAGCTTTCAGCTGGGATTTCAGTTGGATTTTTTATATTGCCTTCTCCATAAACATTATGACCAATTGGAAGGTTTAAATGATGGTATAAGAATTTTGTGTTTCGGTAGCTTAGTGGTTTGATGAGTGGAAAAACAAATAGTGTGTGTATATGAAGCACTAAGAAGATAAAGCTTTGAGGAAGATTCATAGGACCAGTGAACTTTTGAAGTAGGAGCTTCAAGAAGTATATATATATAATTGATTTCAGAGAGGAAAAGAGGGGGAGAGAGAGAGAGAGATAGAAATATCAACAATGAGAGGGAATTATTGATCCATTGATCGGCTGCCTCCTGCACACCCCACACTGGGGACCAAGTCCGAAACCTGGACACGTGCCCTCGACCGGAATTGAGCCTGGGACCCTTCAGTCTACAGGCCAACTATCCTCTGAGCCAAACTGGCTAGGGATCAAGATATTGTTAACATTCTTAAATGATTTATGAAACTGATGTTTCATAAATAGGGATCTGCATCGAGCCTACAAGGCCACAGAGTGCTGTGGTAGGTAATCACCGCCCCCCTGTCCCCCCCCCCCCCCCCCCCCACCTCCGACTCCTACTTCCATCAGACCAGGCTGCTCATGAACTTGGCTCCAGTGTCTCCAAGTCATTGTGAGATCGGTACAGGTCCTAGCATCTCTGCAGTTCCTAGTCTCCAAGGTGTGATGGGAAAAGAGGGTTTATCCACACAGTTGTGTCTGCTATTGTGCCCGCGTCCACAGGAAATCTGGGCTGGTCCTCTCTTCTCTAGGCTGTCAGAACGTGCTTGCAGTTGGCATGGGCCTTTGTAAACGCTAATGTTGGTATTTGAATTCACAATTGCCAGTGGTGCTGGAAAAATAGCAAAAGACACTTGGAAAATGAAGCATTCTTTTCCCCCTTAAACTTCTAGAATGGTGGGGATCTAAAAAGGTCTGGTTACTGTGCCTTATAACCATGTGCAACATCTAAAATTTGGAGCCCTGAATGTCTTTTTTCTGTTGTTTTCTTTTCCCTCTTCTTTCTTCTCTCTGCTATTTATTTCTCAGTCTCTTCTGATATATATATGTATATATATATATATATTTTTTTTTTTGAGGGGGTGTCTAATTTCTTTTGGTCTCTCTCTTCCCTCTTAATCTCTACTGTATATTTCCCTTATTTTCAACGTTCAACCTAAGATTTTAAAAATAGGTTTAGAAAGATAACGGTCCCTTTCTTCCCTTTTACTGTCTAAGGATACACTTCCCAGGCTGGTCTCCTTGTGCGGTGTTTCAAAAAGGCTTTCCTATCAGAGAGCTTGGGAAGCGCACACAGTTGTAAACCTTAGAATATCATTCCCAGGTCAACTTTGATCTTACATGCCAAGTTCTTTGGGTGGGGGGAAAATTAAATCTCTCCAATCTAAATCAATAACCAGCGTTCCAAGAGAAACTTCAAAGTTTCGCTCTACATTTTTAAGGACGGGTAATTCCGTCAATACCAAAGAAACGAGAAGCCAGGAAAAGCCAGAATCCCTTTGTTTAGGACATGGTCTACTTACTTGGTTTTCCTGGTTGTTTTCCCCTCCTCTGAATATAAAGTCTTCTCTTTTCTTTCTTTTCTTTCTTTTTTTTTTTTTTTTTTTATCTCTCAAGAGACACTTTTACTATATTCTACGGATGACTGTTTTTGATTTAGAGGAGAAATCCACACGTAGTGGCTCCAATCTGTTTAGATAAGGTGTTCATTCCTTCCAGCTTTTCATGTTCCAACTTCTGCGGGGCCTGGCGTACATCCACCACCAACACGTCCTTCACAGGGACCTGAAACCTCAGAACATTCTCATCAGTCACCTGGGAGAGCTCAAACTGGCTGACTTCGGTAAGCTGCCGCTCGAGCCTCTTTCTGGGCTTCGAACAATGACGCTTTTGTGAACACACACGTTTAAAGCATTGACGAGTCCCGGCCTTTGAAAAGCGGAGGCCCGGGGAGAGCGATGCTTTGCGAGGGTATCACACTACCATGCAGGAAGTGCGGGGCAAGACACGGAGAGACTGGCAGCTCTAGGACCATATCCAGCTCCAGTCTGGTCAGATCCTAAAACCTGGGCACCCCTGCTAGCCTACTGCCTTTTTCGATACAGAGACATCTGTAGAGTGAACTGTACTTGGTAGGTTTCCCTAAATCTAGGTGGAGATACAAATTCTATCAGAGTAGATTGAGGATATCCCAGGACCGTGATTGGCAAACTGTGGCTTGGGAGCCACATGTGGCTCTTTGGCCCCTTGAGTGTGACTCTTCCACAAAAACCACAGCCTGGGCGAGTCTATTTTGAAGAAGTGGCATTAGAAGAAGTTTAAGTTTTAAAAAATTTGGCTCTCAAGAGAAATTTCAATCGTTGTCCTGTGGATATTCGGCTCTGTTGCCTAATGAGTTTGCCGACCACTGTCCCAGGATGACAGGATCAAGCCCCAGATGTCAGACAGACTCTTCCTGCAATGAAGGCTCTTTGTATATACATAGGTGAGGCTTTTATTTCCACCGAAGTGATGCCGATTCCTCCTGAGTATTACTGTATCTTTCCATTTTACCACTTAGCACAGTTTATAATCACACACACACACACACACACACACACACACACACTCATTTGTGTGACAATTTTGACTCCTCCACTAGACTATGGGCATTATGATGGCAGCCTGGTCCGTTTCTGCTTAATGCTGTATCCCCAGTGCCTGGCACCATGGTAGGTGCTCAGCAAACATTAGTTGGCCAGCTGGTCCCATGTGAGCTGAGGAGCCACTCTTCCCTATTTGGCAGATGTCAGATAGTTGTACTGTCGCTGCAGCACTTCATTCTGAGATGGCAGCTTTCATCCGGGCAATGTAAACATTTAACCGGCATTCATTTATCCATGCCCTACCACAGTGACTCATCTATTGACTATTCTTCCGGCTGTAGATCATGCGGATCTCTGAGATCAATGGCTGGCCAACAAAGCGCTCTCATTGTACAGAGGAGCACTTGAAAATGACTCATCTAAGCTCCTACCAAACTAACCAGTTTGGATTAGCAATCCCTCCCTTTATCTAAGTGGGGATTCCTGGACTGCAGACATGGAGGACGGCTGTATGGGTTATGAATTGAGACCCAGAATTATAGAGGAGGACACATGTAGGAGCTTACTTACTCTCACATAACCATCTGAGCTGAGCAGTCAGAACGTGTAAGGTGGCACCCCAGTGCATGGTGCACCCTCCTTCTGTCTGTGGCCCCATTGTCCCCAGGGTGTTGCCCCCCCTTCCCCCAGGTGCATATTTCAAGACGATGCCGCCTCCTTCTTATTACAGCCGGGAGGAGGGAGATCTGGAAGTTCACACATCACTTCTGTTCATATTGTGCAGGAAAGATTTAGTCACTCATTACACTTAGCTGCCAGGAAGGCGACATCCAGCTGCAAAGTCAGCCAAACTGTGAGAAATGGACTTGATGAAGAAGTGCACAAGGATTAAGATAGTTGGGTAGTTTTATTCAAAGCACCCAGAGTGTGTGTATTACTTTTTTTTAAATTTCTTTATTGATTAAGGTGTTACACATGTGTCCTTATTCCCCCATTACTTCTCCCCTCCCCCTACTCATGCCCTCATTACCCCCTACCCCTGTTGTCTGTGTCCACCGGTTAGGCTTATATGCATGCACACAAGTCCTTTGGTTGATCTCGCCCCCTTACCCCCACCCTCCCCTACCTTCCCTCGGAGGTTTGATGTGTTACTTTTTAAATATTGTTTACTCAGCCAGCTGTCCCCTCTTGGTAGAACGTGTCACCGTGGCTCTCCAGGAGACCATGGGACAATGAGTGCTGTGCTTCTCCCCTTTGGCCAGGTCTTGCTCGGGCCAAGTCCATTCCCAGCCAGACATACTCTTCAGAAGTTGTGACCCTCTGGTACCGCCCTCCTGATGCCTTGCTGGGAGCCACTGAATATTCCTCGGAACTGGACATATGGTAAGAGCTAGAGCCCCCGAAATAGGAGCCACCCTACTCTTGAGGGTTACTTTATCATCTGTAGTACATTTTTAATAATAATTCTAAAGACAATCACATTTGTCTACAGAAACGTAAAGTGCTTTCAAATACCTATCCCATTTGATTTTTCCAATCATTCTACAAGTTTTTACAGTTAAAGAAACTGAGACTCAGATCGGTCTTGCCCAAGGCGGCTGAATCCTCTGTTCTTTCTAACATGCCTCACCTCCTAGCTCTTCTCTTCAATCCTTTGCCTTTTCTCCTTGTCCTCAGAGAAACACACATGCACTCCCAACACACACACACACACACACACACACACACACACACACACACACTCGTCTGTACATGCATGCTCACATGTCCAAAATGCTGGTGGCAAAAGCATAATGACCAAGAATCAAGAGACCTGATTTTTATGTCAGTTCTACTTCTAACAAGTTTCTCTGGATTATGTTATCTTGAAAAGGCCATGTATCCTCTTTATGTCAGTGTTTCTCTATTTTTGAAATGAGGGTAACAAACTCTCCCCTTAAGGGCTTAAATGGGATTGTGGTTCAGGTGTAAGAACAAGATAGATGGTGTCAAGTAGAATGCATTGTTGGGGAGGCTCTTGGGTTAAAGGGATGTGGTGATGAGTGTGGGCTCTTAGGCACTCCTCCTTCCTGGGGCAGTGGTGTTACGTTATCTAAGCCTTATTCCTGAAATATCTCAGGCATTTGGAGGCCACAGTTAGATGTGTGGTGACTGCAGTCACAGCCACCTCCTCAAAGGTAGAAAAGGCTTCTTTCAAGACCTTAGAAGGTCATATATAAACAGTAGGCCCTGTTTTTTTTAAAAAAATCAATAATTGATTAAAAGCATTAAACAGTATCCTAAAAGAATAAACCAAGCTTTAGATTTCCCAAAGAATTGAGAAAGGTTGCAGAAATTTCCCCCAGTGTATCTGGAGCATTGACTTTCTAATCCCTGGTGCCAGCACACACAGAGGAGGGTTCGCGCAGGGGGTGGAGACCATTGGATGGTATTCACCAGCTCAGTTTCTGAGTTGGCTTACCTCATAGTTGACCATTGCTAGCAACCAGGATGATTTTAAACCATTTGACAGTATTCCATTACTTCGATTCTTCTTCACTTACTGTTTAAATTATACCTTTTTATATCTGTTGCTTTAAAGATAAGAAGGAAAAAAGAATGAATATTTAAGACCAAGCTAATGAGAAGCTTTAAAATGACAATAGTTCTAAAAATTTGCCTCAAGATACTACTGACCAGATTCTTTGTTAATCCTCACCTGAAGATACTTTTTCCATTGATTTTTTTTAAGAGAGAGTGGAAGGAGGGGAAGAGACAGAGAGAGTACATGCCCTAGACCAGAATCGAATCTTCAATCCACAGGGCAATGCTCTATCCACTGAGCCAAACCAGCTAGAGCTAAGCAGATTCTTAAGTTACATTTGTCTGGTCAAAGATGTTTTAACACATATCAGGATGTCTCGTATACGTGAAAAATCATTACAAAGTAAAAGTGTGGCCATTATATCCAAAATGACCTTTTAAAAATTAGGGATAAAAACAATCTGTGTTTGAGGGGGGAGAAATCTGCTTGCAAACCTCAGTCTGATAGCTTTTATTTATATATGCACAAAAGTCTAAGAATAAGCCAGTTGATTATTTAAAATGCAAACCAAATATTAGCTCATGAAGACAGTTTATATTTCTTTAGAAGTAATAAAATACAGTTAAACTTAAAATTTAAAAAAAATATATATATATATTCTGTCTCTAAACCAGACACAGGATAAAAGTTATTTTTAAACTTGTTTATCAAGAAATCATCCGCCTAGGCTGGCATGGCTCAGTTAGGTAGAGCGTGATTCTGCGCACACAGGGTTCGATTCCCCGACAGGTTTGACCCCAAACAGGATGTGCTCATGAAGCAACTGATTGCTGTTTTTCTCTCACACTGATGTTTCTCAGTTTCTCTCTCAAATCAATAAAAATATCCTTGGATGAGGATTAAAAAAGAAAAAGAAATCTGCTTTCTCTTACCCAAATTAAAGTAAATTAAATAGCATGTGTCTACATTCAGATGGAAAAAGTAAAAATTTATCTTATGGGATAAGTACACATGAATAATATTAAAGACCATATTTAATATGAACCTTTAATAATATGATGATTTGTAATAAAATGTTTTACTTACATATCCTTTATCATGCCAGACCAAAAAATGTCAAGCTGGTTCAAGGAGTTTGCAGAAAGTATGTGTTATGTTGAAAGGGATTTGGAGTCAAAGTATTGGACCATGGGGATAATCTCTGTAATCTGTCAACTGAACAGATTTTTAAAAACATATATTTTATTGATTTTTTTACAGAGAGGAAGGGAGAGGAATAGAGAGCTAGAAATATCAATGAAAGACATCAACCAGCTGCCTCCTGCACACCCCCTACTAGGGATGTGCCTGCAACCAATGTACATGCCCTTGACCACAATCGAACCTGGGACCTTTCAGTCCGCAGAACGACTCTCTATCCACTGAGCCAAACCGGTTTCGGCAACCGAACCATTTTTATCATTCCCCAAGACTATAAGCATAAAAGTGTGCATTATTAGCAAAATAAATCATACCTCTTACTCTCTCTCAACCATGACTCTCTCGTTTGACAGCATAGGGAAGGGAAAAGGAGAGCTTCCTTTCCCCCATTTCATCTGTTTTCACATGCACACTCTTGCTGTATCTCAAATCAGCATGCAGCTCACAACCAGCAGCATCTCACCACGGCCATCAGCCCGGATGCATTGTAGTAGCCATTGCACGTGTGTGAACATCAAACGTGCCAGCATCAGGACCTGTAGCATGGGTGTCAGTGGCTTGGAAGAGCTCCCCGTACCCACTCCTCTCCCTCCCCCAGGAACCAAGCGGTTGTAGAAGGGGAGTGAATCGGACATGGTTAGCAACATTCTTTAAGCAGGAGTCAGGAGTAGGCTGTGTAACTGCAAGGTCAGCTTGGGAGCCCAGCACCAGTGACGCTTAGCTCTCTGACGGATTATTTTAAGACATGCTGTGTCATCAAACTCCTGATGTAAAGGACGATACCATGGATAAACATAGACATCAAAGAGTCTGAGTCAAATGCTGAATGTGGAAAAAAGTTTCAGGGACACCTAAACCAATGTCTTTCACTTGATGCTCCAGTTTTTGCATGTACGAGTATGACAGGTGATAAAACATAATCTGTCTAAGTGTATAACAACTCTTTCAATAAGTATAAAGGCAACATTCTGAGCATGTCATAGTTTAACTCAGATGCACACTCTTGTGGTTCAAGTATAAGAACAAGATAGAGTCCTACCTGGTTTGGCTCAGTGGATAGAGCGTTGGCCTACGGATCGAAAGGTCTCAGGTTTGATTCCAGTCAAGGACATGTACCTTGGTTGCGGGCACATCCCCAGTAGGGGGTGTGCAGGAGGCAGCTGATCGATGTTTCTATCTCTCTCCCTTCCTCATATATATATATATATATATATATATATATATATATATATATATATTTTTTTTTTTTTTTTTAAAGAATAAGATAGATAAAAAAAAAAAACAAAAAACACAGGGCCTACTGTTTATATATATTTGAGAGAGAAACAGAGCAGGTGTTTTGTTTCTTAATGGCACATACAATAGTGGTGCCTCTTCCAATGATAGTATCTTAGGTTCATGGAAGAGAGTGTTCAGTTGGGAGAGTTAGAAATTTCCCCTCCTCTCATAAGATGGACAGTTAATGAGCTTGAATGAGCCAGAATGTTTACTCTCTATGCTGTGTTGCTAAATGCTGGTTGCATTCCATTTTAACAAAAAGCTGTAGGCTGTTCTTATTTTCAGTTGACAAAGGGACTTTTATTTTTTTTATTTTTGCCCAGGATTTTATAACAGCATGTGGCCTCTATTGGCCTGTCCCCAAAATATTTCCTGGGAGGAGAAATGCTGGCAGTTCAGTTTTGCAGGTCTGGTTTCCTTGAAACTGTCCATTGACTCTTATTTCTTTTGCTAGGGGTGCCGGCTGCATCTTTATTGAAATGTTCCAGGGTCGGCCTTTGTTTCCTGGGGTTACCAGCATCTTTGAACAGCTGGAGAAGATCTGGGAGGTAAGAGAAGAATGTCTCTTAGGAAGAAGAAATATCTGCGTTTCAAACTTTAAATCAGATTTGCCTTTGAGGCGAATGACGCAGTCCATCTGCTTTGAGATAGGAAACTCCGTATTAAGCTCAGGTTAAGGTCATTTGTGTTTCTCGGACTGACTCGCGGTGTTTGCAGCAGTACAAGCACTTTGAGAATGAGGGGCCAGGAAGCCCCTGCTGTCCTGTAACATCCCATGAATCCACCTGCGCCCTATATTATAGCCTCGGTCTCTCGGAGCGATTCCTGCCATTCCTAGGAAAGCACATCTCTGCCTGGCCGCCCCCAGCTCCAATTTTACTCTATGTTTGGCCCTGGGTCTTTATCAACTGATGGCAAGACACTGAATTGTTAGAGAACTCCAATGGAAACAAAGGCTTAGCATGTTTGTGTGAGAGAAATACAGTATTTACCATGCTCCTCCAAAACCAAATTCCGAAGATGTTCAAGTGCTTTTGCGTGGTTTCATTTCTTTTATTCTTAAGTTTATCTTTAAGTATGATTTACATTCCATATTATTTTGTATTAGTTTCAGGTGTACAGCAGAGCGGTTAGACTATCACATACTTTATGAAGTGATCCTCCTGGTATTTCCGGTACCCACCCAGCACCATACATATTAATAGTTATTGCAATATTATTGACTACATTCCCTGTGCTGTAGTTCACATCTCCATAACTATCTTGTAGCTACCAATTTGTACTTCTTACTTCCTCGCCTTTGTCACCCACTTCCCCTAAACTCCTCCCCTCTGGCAACTATCAGTCTGTTTTCTGTGTCTCTGAGTCTGTTTCGATTTTGTTTGCTCCTTTAGTTTGGTCTTTAGACGCCACATGCAAGTGAAATCATATGGTATTTGTGTTTCTCTGACTAACGTATGTCACTTAGCATAATACCCTCTACGTTTATCCATGCTGTCCTAAGTGTAAGATGTTATTTTTTTTATAGCCAAGTTCTATTTCATTGCATATCCACTCTCTATTGATAGGCATTTGGGCTGCTTCCATATATATTTTAAAAATTTATCTTTATTGTTGAAAGTATTATAGATGTCCCTTTCCCCCCTCCCCCATTGACCCCTCCACCCCTCCCTCTCAGGACTTCATCACACTATTGTCTGTGTCTGTGGATAATGCATATATACTTATAATCTCTCCTCGACCACCATCCATCCCTGCCTTCTCTCTGAGATTCTGTTACATTCTTCTATGTCTCTGCATCTATTTTGCTTCCACATCTTGGCTATTGTAAATAACACTGCAATAAACATAAGGGTACATGTATTCTTTCAAATTAGTGTTTTGAGTTTCTTTGGATATGTAACCAGAAGTGGAATCCCTGAGTCATAAGGCAGTTCCATTTTTAATTTTTTTAAGAACCTTCATGCTGTTTGTCATAGTGGCTGCACCAATCTGCAATCCCACCAGCAGTGCATGAGGGTTCCCTTTCTCCACATCCTTGCCAAAAGTTGTTTGTTGATTTATTGATGAAACCCATTTTGATAGGTGTGAGATGATATCGCATTGTGTGTTTTTAAAATATATTTTTATTGATTTCTGAGAGGAAGGGAGAGGGAGAGAGAAAGAAACATCAACGATTAGAGAGAATCATTGATTGGATGCCTCCTGCACGCCCCCTACTGGGTTCCACAACCCTAGCATTTGCTCTGACCAGGAATCAAATCACAACCACCTGGTTCATAGGTCAATACTCAACCACTGAGCCACACCGACCATACTAGAATTTATCTTTAATACACACATTAAGATGAAAAATCTTTAGAGAACATTGGGGAAAGGAGGAAAAAATTAGTTGCCAGTGTCTGGAAAGTTATTGGCTCACCTCTGTGAAGAAATGCTATACAAATCAGTCTAGTGCTGGAAATTCATGACCCAGAAGACATTGTCTTCTGGCTAAAATAAAATGTGCTTTGAGACATTAAGACATTTTATAGAGATTAATTACTGCCATTAAAATTTTCTTTTGGATATATGGGGGCTATTATGGAGCAACATAGGAAATATTGATTTTTTTTTTCCTCCAAACTCCTCTGCAAGATAGATAAATGCTATTTCTCTTCAAGCAGCATCACTGGGTGCCAAAACATCATCTAAGCTGGAGGCAGCTTAACGTAATAATAGCTTAAAAGCCGTAAGACCAGGGTTTGAATTCTAGCGACTTGTTAGCTAAACAAATGTGGGCAAGCTGTGTAGTTCCTCTGAGCTTAAGTTTGCTCATTTGTTAAATGGGGCTAGGGGGTCATGACTTCCTAACCTTCTGTCAGAATTCCATAAGGTCAAATGCATAGCAAGCTTCCTGCACCAAAAGTGCTCAATAAATATCTGCTGCCTTTCTCTGTCAGATCAATTATTATTATAGAGAGATTTCAATCACCTACGTGCTGAAAAGCATCTCCTGACATACAGCCTCATTGTTCTTCCGTGTGGTCTTACTTCTTGTCCACACAGAGGAAGTACTTAGATATCACAGAACAGAAAGAATGGGCTAGACATTTCCCAGGACCCGATGGCTCTCTAGTGATTGGTTCAAGTTTCCAGGACTGGCCTCGCTGACTGACACTGGCCATCTGAAGATGTGTTTGGTAATTCAGCAAGTGAAAGAATTTGCACTTGAACCTGGACATAAAGTACCAAAACAAACATGTCTTAACAGCAAAAACAAACATGTCCTAACAAATCAGTCTAATAGTTCCTGCCCAGAAAGCCATGTTCATGTCTACCATGTCTTTATCACATTGCAATCAACTGATGGGGACTTTATTTTGACACTTATGACAACTCATTGCAAATTTGAAATAAGTGACCATATTAGAAATACCACTGGCCTGCAGTCAGAAGACGTGAGTTCTGAACCCGGCTCTAACTTCAAGTTATGAGGGAGAGTAATTCACATCACCAACCTCCCTGGGTTTCCAGAGTCATACATGTTACAGAGGCTCCTCAACCTATGACAGGTTACCTCCCCATAAACCCTTCATAAGCTGAAAATGTCATAAATCAAACCATAGTGAGTTCGGGATTACTTGTATTTGATTGTCTGATTTCATGAAGTTGTGACTTCTTTGAACAAAAAGAATATTGTAGCTCCCATCATTTAAAAAATCATAATATTCTTCTCTGTTTATCTGATTCTACTACCTACCCAGGTAGTTTTTATTGAGTTTGTCAACTTGCATAGCTCATTGTTGACTTTTGATCTGAACTGACCAAGAATATAGCTCCATATTGCCTCACCATACTTTATGAGCAGCAGACCAGATTCATTATTTCATTATGTCTCATTCCTACCTGGTCCCGTCGAAGGAGGACAATGGTTTTGTTATCATAGCTTGTAGCTCCACACTCTGCAGACAAAGTGGGAAAGTCACCAGCTTCAACAGTTTCTGCTACTATATCTTAGGCAGGTTAAACATTACAAATAGTTCCTAAATTTATGTTTTATTAAACATGGTCTACCCAAATGAGAATAGGTAATCTATTTCCAGTCTACAAAAATGGATGTAGAAGTGGTTTCTTTGAAAGCAACATGGCCATTCTAAATCTCCCTGTCTCTAAACATAACCTTCCTCTACATTTATCCTGAGGTCTTACTCTTAGAATAAAGACATCACAAGAAGTCCTGAATTTTTCTTTCACCATCTTTCTGAAGTGTGTGTGTGTGTGTGTGTGTGTGTGTGTGTGTGTGTGTTCACATCTGAATAGCTGTCACATGCTTTCTGGGATCTAATTCTTTCAATAAGCAGTTTTAGCAAATAATCCCAGCTGTGGTTCTAAAATCAGAATAAAACAAACTATGCAGACCTTGAATCCATTAATCAAAATGCCTTCAGTTTCCATTCCAACAAAGGCAGAAAACAGCCCTGCAGCCCACTGTTTTCAAATATAGCACTCACTGGCTGCCTTTTTAGGAGCCTTAAGGGAGGGTATAAATCAACAATTTTTGGTTTTCAGTTTCCCAGACAGAAGTGGAGATTTAGTCATTTTCTCAAGTGAAAACAAATTCAATAACTTTCAAATAGAAACTCAGCATCAAATTTCCAAATAAAGGATATTGAATTTTGTTTAAACATTTAAAATCTCAAGCTTACAGCTTTTAGCATAATATTTAAACATTATTGGTATCCATTTTGGTGATTTAATTAAACAGAATACAAAAATAACCATTCTGGTAACGTTTGCCTTAGAAAAATATGGATGTGGTCATTGTTATTTATTTCTCTTCGTTATCTTTGCTTTCTTTTCATTGTACTTTGCCTGTTAACAGAAGACGTATGGCTCTCTGTGAATCACACCCACTGGTTTACATGCACACCTGTGCAAATACATATGATGGTAGGTTAAAAATGAGGAAGTAGCTTTCCATCCTCCTGCCCACTCCTACAAAAGTAGAAGTAGTCCAGTTGGTTTTTCACAATGGATTCAGGATCCTTGGTGTTCCTTGGGCTCAGGTGGTAGATAGGAGAAGCCTGCAATCCTCTCAGTAGCTTTTCAGCTTGTTTAGGGAATAGATCAAAGAAAGAAGGTTTTGCTATGTGGCGTGATTTTTTATTCTATGAGGGAGAATAGCACTTTGGTGTCTTTTGTTCGAGGACAAGCTTAACAGGCACCACAAAATGTGCTTTCCAGCCGGAGTCCTGGTCAGCAAGCCGGTGAGTAGTAAGGTTCTGGATTCCTTACTGATGATCATCAGCCACTTGTTGGGCAGTTGACTTCCTACTGTCTCTATCCAGCATTTTACATAAATGGGTTCTCTAGCCTCATTCTATAAGAACTGCTTCTAAGAAGAATTATATTGTAATGGTGTAATGCAAACTATTAGTATTTTACTAAGGTTTTATAAAAACACTGTTATTCTAGCTCCTAGATATAACTAACACTGGGTTTTTATTACTATCTTTTTTTTTTTTTTAATGATAAGGTGATAACTATAAAGAAACTCGGAAACATCACCATTCCAAATCTGAAATGTTTTAACATTGTATTCCAAAGGACTTTTATTTTCCTGTTAACTCAAAACTAGAGCCTTAATTTGGTAAGCCAAAGTACAAAGGAGGTGCTCTTCAGTGATGTTGTTACTATTACTATCCACCAATTAAAATCCAAATACCAGACTCCAAGCTGTTGGGCCACAGAAAACTCAAGCAAATGAGATGAATTTGGTAGAAAGGACTGGAGTTGGTCTGGGGATCATTTTTAGCCAACATTTCATAGCCTAAAGGTCGGTAATCTGAACCCTTTTAATTTGAGCGTATTGTGGAACAGCTGAACACCAGGCGGGGGCATAGTGTAGGCTGTCAAAGCTTCCTGTTGGAAAAAAAAAAAAAAAAAAAAAAAAAAATATATATATATATATATATATATATATATATATATATATATATATATATAATGTAAGGCAAAGGGACATCCCTCCTGCTTCTTTATCTCCCAGCTCCCAACATAGCATACTAAGTATGTTGGTCATGCAATAGATATTTAATGATGAGGATATGACTAAGCCAGGCTGTATGATCTGCCTCAGAACAAGTGAGTTAGTGGAGACACAAGCTCAGGACCTGTCTTAGGATTCTTCAGAGAAACAAAGCCAATGGGATATCTAGAGATCTATAAGAGGAGATCTATTATTGGAATTGGCTCATGCAGCCATGGAGGCTGAAATATGCCATTTACAAACTGGAAACCCAGAAAAGCAAGTGGGTCTGCTATAATTTAGTCTGAAGTCAAGGGCCTGAGAACTGCGGGGGCTGCTGGTGATAAACCTGAATCTGAAGACCCGAGAGCCAGGGACACTGATGTCTGAGGGCAGGAGAAATCGGACACCCCAGCTCAAGAAGAGAGAGAACATTCCCTTCCTCCACCTTTTTGTTCCTCTTGGAGCCCTCGGTGGGTTGGATGATGCTTCCCATGTGGGTGAGGATAGGTCTCTACTCATTCCACTGATTCAAATGCTAATCTCTTCCTGAAACATCTCACAGACACACTTAGAAAAAATGTTTTACCAGCTATCTGGGCTTCCCTGGCCCCAATCAAGTTCATCCATAAAATTAACCATTACAGGACCACAGGAATATACTAGTTTTGCCCATACAACTACAAATAGGGAAACACAAAAGTTTCTTTCTTGGATACATCAGCTGGTGTAATGTGACATACATCTAATTCTTGCCTGATCTGTCCTTCATGTTGTCATACTTGCTCCATCCGCCTCACGTCTTCCCTAACTTTTCTCTGTCTTTTTTTGGCTTTGTGTAGGTGTTGGGAGTCCCTACAGAGGACACCTGGCCTGGAGTTTCCAAACTACCTAACTACAATCCAGGTAACATTTGAATTGAGCTTTGGAATGCTCTGAGAAGTAGCAGGGTGAGAGACTTAGCTACGCAGTGTGTTCTATTGTTGTTAACTCAACTGGGGAGATAGGTCTAGACAAATGTTTAGGTTCTTGAATTCCCTGACTAATCCTTTTATGAGGAGCACACTGAAATAGTAGTTAAGGTTAGATTAGTTTTCAAGCTCTGGAAACCACAAGCAGCAAACTGAATAAGCATCTGAGATGACTATTACTGTGGATTCCCCATCCGTTTCCAAACACACAAGTGCCCAAGGAAACAACTAAAAAGATAGTGTCGCTTTTGAGCCCAGGACTGCCATGGACTTATATGCTTCTACGACACAAGGGAAGTAGAAACTCATTGGGCTCATTAAGCCTTGGGCAGGACAGCTGTGTGTCTAGATTGTACAAGAGTTCACCACTTGGTCATGTTATGTCGTGTTGTTGGTCCTCCAAGACTGGCTCCTAGAATGGCTATGGAAGTATTAGAAGTGTGGTCCACAGGGGAAGTCTGAGGAATAGTCCCAATGCCATGGCAGAGGGGACAGATTAACCAGGTGTCACATCCAAGATGTTGAGACAGAAGGGCCGAGACACGCAGTGAGCTATAAGATGGTGGGATGTATCCAATGCTGAAGAAGCAAGAATAGCCACACGAGAGCTGGACTCCTGCTGCCAGGACTGGGGAAGAGGGAGTTATGCACAGATAAGGACAAGGTTAGGGTGAATGTGGCCCAAGTCACATTTTCTAGTCTTCATATTCTTACAGTGTCCCCTTACTAAAAATGGATTCCCCCCCCCCCCCCCAAACTGTTGTCACTGTTAACATTGGTATGAGCTTATCCTGCAAGGGCTTCATGAGAGCAAGAAGCGGGAGAGGCATGAAAAAGGTGGTTAAAGAGAAAAACAATGGACAATGGAGGCTAGGGATGGTTTTCTTTCTTTCTGCAGCATCTAATATTTTTGCTCAAACAGCTATCCACAGGATCAGAGATCTTGAATTAACTAGAATTATGGAAACCTTACAGCAAGCTAAAAGCAAACTATAAAGTCATCTCCGCTTTATGTGAATGGTCGTATGCATTGCTAAATGGCTGTAGGGCCACTCACACATACTAGTAGGTTACCATTTCTACTATTTTGCTAGCTTGGCTCCTGAGAAAAAGGCTGCTGTCTGGCCACAAGGCTTTGCCTTTGGTCTGAGATAGAGAGGGAAAAAAAAGAACAGTCTCCTTGCAGAGACCAGGACCCAGGCTGCAATAGTCCCCTCTCCCGTTGCCATGGTTTCTAAGAGAGTCTGGCTTTCGTCTTTTCTGACCCTGCCCATACCTCTCTTCACCCAGCCTATACTCTCTCCTCCAGGTGAAAATGGGACTCCCACCCCCACCCTCGGTTTTCTACAATGGAAGCAAGCGGACGTTTAGGGCCACAGACGGGTTGTAGAAAACAATTTGGACAATGTTGACACAAAACTGCCACGCTGAGCATGTGATGTTTCCCCAAACTTCAAACATTTGGGTTTCAGGTTGGTTCAGGCAATAAATAGTTTCTCAGCACAGAAGGCCTTGTTGAGAACAACAATGATAGGAAGCTGGCCAAATGCTCCCCTGCCAGATTCTGGATTACATAAGGTAGCCAGGGTTCCACTAAAACAGTGAGACATATGTTACATCTTTCATTTTTGCTGTCGTTTCCAAGATATGTGCAATTTTTTTTTTTCTGGAGAGAAATCTCCAGATAACAGCATCAATCGGGTTCATACTTTGCATTGTTTTTTTGTTTTTTTTTCTAGAAAAAATGAGTCCAACAATTTTAAGCACCTGCTATCTGCTGTGCTGTGTGCTGGGTCGGTTCTTGGCTGTTTAAGAGCCTGGGTTCGTATTTACTCGTCCACATCCTTTCACCCACTCTCCTTCTGAGGGGCAGGGTGCTCCTGTGTGAGCCCTGTGTCCATGGGCTTGGGCAGGGCGTGCCTGTGGGCAGAGCTTGTGGGAGGACGAGAGTTATAGCCTTCGCCACAGCCAAGATGTAAACCCGTATCTGTACATCTTAACAGTCCAGCTTCCCTTGGGTCTGGGACCATTACCATGGATGACACCATCATAAGGACTATGTTTTAAAAGGGTCGTCCACCTCTGTGAATCGAGAAATCTCTCTGAGCCCACTTCCCTAGCAACCCCACCCCCTCTGAGCTGCTACTGCTGCTTCATGCCCTTGTACTCCAGCGACTGGGGGGCCCGAAGAGGGGATGGGAGCCAGAAAAACGTCACTGAGCAGAACTGTGGGCACCATTCTGGATGAGCTTTCCATTATCTTCCCTTCTGTTCTAACTTGTAGTAAGGACCCCAAACTTTGAACTCAGCTGGCACCGCAATTCTGAGGGAGCCAAAGAGCTCAGAACTTGTCGAATCCTCCAGGTTCCATCTGCGCCCACTCTGCCGCTTCCCGGCCGTGTCTGGACTGTGTCTAGGAAGACAACACAGTCCCTCTGTGTGTAGGTTAACACAACCCACCCGCTGGAAGGATCTGTCTGAGCAGTTACCTGTCTTCTAGGAACACTGGCGAGCAGGGTTGTAGTTATTCTAGCCCTCAAGTCAGACTGTTGTGCCTGATTAAATCAGGGCAATGGAAGAGGTGTGTGACTAGAGACTGGTCCTTTGCTCCCTTCCTTCCTTTCTTCCTTCCTTCCTTCCTTCCTTCATTCTTTTCTTCCTTTCTTCCTTCCTTCCTTCCTTCCTTCCTTCCTTCCTTCCTTCCTTCCTTCCTTCCTTCCCTCCCTCCCTCCCTCTCTCCCACCCCCATTTTAAGCAAGCTGGCTGAGAACTCTGTGTCCTCTACTTCAAAGGGCCAGTTGTCTTATTTTGATGTGGGCAGATTAAGAAGTAGCCTTTGAAAAGTAGGCTTTCTTTCTTTTCTTTTCCTTTTTGTTTAATCTTTTCTCCTGGGATAGCTTTCAGAGCAATATATCCAAGTGTCAGTGAGGGGGGTTCTGACGAGCGCGGATTCCCAGGCTCTCAGCAGGATCGTTCTCTAACAGAAATATAAAAGTGAAATATTAAAAACCCTGGAACGTGAACTCCATCTGCAGAGTAGCCAGTGTCTCGCCTGCTCACACCCTGGGAAAAAAAGCTCTCCTTGAAAAAAGAGGGAGGAGAAAAAAAAGTGCTTTGAGTAAGAGGTTTACAGGTTTAGTAGAGCATAGTAACATCCCCTCAAAGAAGTGGGTGTTGCTCTGTGACCCCCCAAAATGCTCCTCCTTTGACCCAGCCGCCAGAACACTCACCCTCCCTTGGCAACACACCCCCTTTTCACATGCTAACTGAGTCGCCTGTGATTGGCTGAACAATGAGCTGGTCACACTCGCTAAAGGCCTGCCATCCTTCACACAATTAGCCAAGACACATTAATCAAACTGGCGGGAGCCAGGGCTGTGCTGGCCTCCCGCGGTGGAGGAAGGGGGCAGTTTTGTGATCCTTAATAAGAGTCCGCAGGAAGCAATGATAAAGGACAGCACGCTAGAGGGGATTCTCTCAGAAAGCCTAAAAAGGGGAAAACCCCAACTGATGCCGTAACTGTGAGGCGCTGGGTCTGTGGCACAGAAGACCCCAGGAGCTTAGAGCAAACTGGATATCGGTCTTGGCTAAAATCTGCTAATGCAAGACAGCAGTGTGAAGGCAAGGGGTGGGCCCCTGTGGACATTTCTACAAAGTTCCCTTACCCCTGGCCCCAAGAAAAAACAACCCAGGAGGCCCTTCCCTTTTGAGCCTCAAGTGCTTTGGGCCCAACTGGAACCAATAGGAGTAAAGCATATATAAAAAGTAGAGAACTGTTTAGAATCAATTAAGAGACGTATCAGCTGACAAGGTGTTGGTTCTAAACGAAGTATTTAGAGGCCATTAAAAATAGTGAATTTTGAGATTAAAAAATAAGTTAACATTTGTGCTTTTTTATTTAAAAAAAAAATCCTTACCTGAGGATATGTTTATTGATGGGGAAAAGAGAGAGAGAGAGAAAGAGAGAGAGAGAGAGAGAGAGAGAGAGAGAGAGAGAGAGAGAAGAGGGAAGAGAAACAATGACTCCAGTATGTGCTCCGACTGGAATCCAACCTGTAACCTCCAGTATGACACTACAACCAGCTAAGCCATACCAGCCAGGGCCACGTTTGTGTGTTTCACCTTCCGGCTTTTCTTTTCCCAATTTCCTCTGCATAGATTTTCCAATGGCAATCTAGAGCTTATAAGATCGTACCTTAAAGACGAGTTCACCGCGGAATTGTGTAAGGCTTTTAAAAGACTCAACTAAATATTTAGACATTTCTCAGCTAACGTAAACAGAGGCCTCACTGCCCTGGAGGTTGCCAGTCGCCATCTCATTAGATGCAGAGATCCCGTGATAAAGAGAAACGTTTTTCCTGCCACATGATTGCAGCCCCATTGTGGTTTTTAATGTGTCATTGATTGTTTCATCCAACTTCTTTTGCTCCCCTCAAAGGGTCTGCCGTGGCTCTGTTTGCTTCCTTAAACACAGTTTCTGAAAGCACTCACGCTGTGTGAGCTCAAATCCTAGCATTAATGTACTGCTGGGTTCATTTCACCACACTCAAAAGCGCCGAGTTTAAATCCCTCTCAATTCCATTTGGGGCACCAGAAGACTTTATCCTTCTTCACTAATGGTTCCAAGTTTACATCTAGATCCTGGGGTCAAGGACAGGAGAGGATTTAGAAATAACAGTGCATGACATTAGGCGATACATTTGCCAAATTGGCAATTAGTTCCTGATGTGCGTGCAAAGCGTCTCATTCCTGTCTCTTTGATGCTCTGTTCCCATTAAGAAGGGGATGGAGTCCGCAGAGGCCTTCAGACTTTTAAAGGAATATCTGCTGAAAATCATGCCTGATTTGTGGCATGAGCTCAGCTGCGGGGAAGCATCCGGGATTACCCCGGTCCTTCCCGCCCGGGGAAAGCTTCTCCACTCGAGGAACTCAGTG